ATATATACATATATACATCTATATATATATATATTTGGCCTTTCATGCTACTCCTGTGATAGGGTGTTCAGCCCTCTGATCGCGGCAGAAGGCAAGTATCACAGCTCTTGCGCCTTGCAGAGGACATGCCTGGTGTTGTGTTGCTTCGTGAGGACGCCAGAGCCCGTTTGTGAGTACACTATACTTACGGGCTTTTTGAATGCTTATGGTTTGGGACCCTCGGGTTGAGAGACATGTTTGCCAATGAATAGCTCCAAAGGACTCTGCAGTAAGCATGAACTTGAACTCAGGGCGCAGTTGAGGCGTCAGACCTTGACCTTGACCGTGTTGTGGGAACGTCTGCCTTGCAGAAGCGACGAGCACGTGCCAGGCGAGCGACAAGGGGAAGTCCCAGAAGGCGGGCACAGCTCTCTGAGCCCAGACAGTCAGACAGGGCTCCTGATTTTGTTTTTAAAGGTGTTAACCATTTGCGCTTTCAGTCACTCATACAGGAGATAACCCTTAATTGGTGGTTCGGATTGGTGGTGGGAATTGAACCCCTGCCCTATGTCCAGTCTGGGTATGGCAATTTTCCAGCAGATTTGGAGCAAGCTTCGGGGGGGTTTCCTGCCAAAGACGCTGTGCAAGGAAGGCCAGGGCATGTTGGGGAGCCATCGTGGAACCGCATCCAACTGCAAAATCCCTGGTAGCTGGCGGTAAATTTGCGGATTTCCTGGTTGCCCATACCCCGATTTTGATACTCGCAGCAACAAAACCTGGCAGGCGCCCGTTCTCTCAGAGCGAGTCACGGTCCTGTCCTGTTGCGATCGGTGGAGGGCCCTTTGTGACCATGGCCAGCTCAGAATGCACCCTTGTGATACGTAGTGGCTGCATATCCCATCTACCCTCGGGCACATCAAAGGAAAGTCCTTCCTTTCCCCGCCAGGAGATCCTTGAGAAGTTGAAGAGGGACAGGCGCCGCCTAAGCTGGCCGGGCTGCGTGGGGCTTTCTGGAGGATTTTCAAGAGGGCCCTGCGTGACCAGGTCTCCTTTTGAGAGGGAATACAAGGGGCAGAATAATTACAAACGTTAATGTCCCATGGTCATGACTGCAGCTTTATGTTCCTCCCCCCCGTCCAATGATGATTTAGCACTAGAAATTACCTCCCCGCGATTGGTTCACATCTAGGTATGGATCAAAAATTAGACCACCAGGGGACCGCTGGCAATAGTCTTTGGTTCCCCAAAATGTGTACCTATTTTTGACCCACAGCCATCTCGGGCGTTTGGATGGCGCGACGGGACTCGCGAGGCGTGCCAGGCGGCAGCTGCTGAAGGCCGAGATCAAGGCGCTCAGCGGCTCGGACTACCTGCAGCCGGGGGGGGGTAGCCACCACTTGCTGGCGCGCACATGTGTTTAGAAACTTTGAAAGGTGAAAAATAAGGACCACCACCAAGTTCAGCCCAACTTGGGGTCCGTGAAAGTGAATTGTCCTGCGCACCATGAGTCGGAGGGTATTCGTTGCTCTTCTGTTTTTTGAGGTGCACAAGTGTTGCATTTGTCAGGGTTCGGGGCTGCTTTGGTCCTTGGACGCCTGTACTGAGTTTGTTTGAATGGGTCTGCTTGATTTTCAGGTGTTCATTTCGGTGAACCTTCCAACGAGGGGAGACTTGGTAGCTTCTCGACATTCCTGGCAACCCTGGATTGACTTGGAGGACCACACTCACCGCACTCATCAGATAATATATGATTCTAGAAATCCATGATTTGCCACCATTTTTTTGTTTTCCATTTTTTGCGTGGCTTACTTACCAAATTACCATGAGGCAATGGGGTTCACCAAAACCCCATGTCCCTTGAGAACAAACAGCAAACGTGACCGTGACTCATGGGGTTGCTCACCGTCCGAGGTTTGCAGGCGCCAAGCCCAGATTCTGGCCTCGTGTTTCGCGGTTGTTGGGAGGGGATCGGAGACCCACTGATCGCTTGCTCTTTGGCTGGCGCTCTTTTGCCGGTATCCGGCCATTGCAATGTGGGCATTTCACCTTTTGGAGAATGTTTGTTTCCCCGTGAGCGGCTGTTTAAACAGCGAGTTGGGCTTGAACATGCGGAAGCAGGTGGCACTGCGGAATCTCTTGGGGTTTTGCGGATTTCAGACCGAAATGTTCCCACAGGGGACTGCTACAATGGCTGACTCCCTTTTAGGTTTTGGTCGCCCAGGCTTGCCTGAATCAGCAATTCGGGTCTGCGAGACCGAAGATGTGGCAGCTGTCCTTTCAGCGGAACATGTTGCAGTCTTCTAGAAAACGGGCCCAGCCTAGAGCACCCTGAAGCAAAAGCCGAGGTGCAGATGAACGGCTTGGAAACGGAGTCTGCGGAGATGGGCAAGCAGAAGGAGGCGCGGACTTGGAATTCGGCTAGACACAGGGCGTCCCCAAATTTCAATCACTTTTCGGCAGGGTTGTGGGATCAAGGGGTTTATCCCCACTTCTGTGATACAAGGCAATCCCCTCTTTTTCATGGGTGGTTAGTCTTCGGGAGGCCCTTTCTGTTGTATCACAGATGTGGTCATTTCCCACAGCCCTGCTTTTCGGTGGTCTTGAACGTCACCATGTTAGCCACTTTAGCTTCAATCTAGCCTCCCAAACAAATGGCCAGTCTTCTATTTTGGAAGTCCCATGCCAGAGCTGGCCTGCTAAGAATGGGCATCGGCGCAAAGGACGCGCACTTCACGGTTGTTCGGCTGATGGCGAGGGAAAATGGTGAAATTTCTTGCAGCCAAGAGACTCATCGGGAGTGATGGTCCACAGGCTTGGCGGTCTGGCGCACCAAGGGCTCCAGTGTGACAGGTCACGTTGTTTGTGTACAAGATTCCATGGAGAGACTGTCTACCTTTTGACACCTTTACAACAATGCCAACAGCATCCCAGATACAAACAACGCAAGTAGCCGACACCCTCAGAAATGGTCGATGCGACTGATGTCCACAGGGTCTTCCTCTCAAATTGAACTTCATAGCGACACGTTTGAACAAAACTAGTACACCAAGATGCCAAGTGTCAACTTAGTTGTTGGTTGGTTGTTCGGGCATAGCCCATGGCCAGCCCGTTTTGATCCGTCCGTCCGATTCGCTCAGGCGGCGATGGAGTCGGATCTGGCCACCCGGGTGGAGAAAGAGGAAGAGGAGCGTCTTGAGCCCAGATGAAACGTCGGGTGCCCTGCATAAGCTTCCCTTTTCAGGTGGTTTAAGCGGTAAATCAAATTTTCACACCACATGACGGTTTGAAACCTACAAATAACTTCCCACCTCACATGAAAAACTGGGGCCCTTCCAAGACAATGGCTGGACTTCACGAGCCTGTTTGCCCTTTTGCGCCTTTGGGGTTGCCTTCATCTTCCCTTGGAACCAACCAGTGACAGCTTTTCAGCCAACTTTTGCAGTCTAAGTGTGACTAAGGGGGGTACCAGTTGGAAAAAAGAGGGCGCAGGTGAGCTTACAAAACCGCACAACCTCTCAAGGGGTTCTGGTAGGGCTGAGCCGACAAACTAATTTGCTGGATTGCTCCTCCTGGCCCAAGCTCGGTTTGGCGCGTCAACCCCTGGCATCTCTTTTCGACGAGATGTCGGTCTTCTCGGTGTCCACGGCCGGCGGCGCGACCTACGAGGTGGCCGCCGCGGCGCTGGAGAACGTGATGCAGTTGCGCCTGGAACTGGAGAAGCAGATCCATGGCCAGACCTGTGAACATGGAGCGCCAAAAAAGGGGGATGTCCTCTTAGCATTGTCCTTTCTCTGGTTCCGTGTTGATCTGTGCGAGTAACTAACCTTCCTGCCCTGCGCTCTTGGTTGTTTCCTTCATTTTTTCTTTTTGGCTGGTCGGATCCTCCCAGGATCGAGGTGCCGGACGGCTGCTACCTGAAGCTGTTCCACTCGGCCGAGGTGCTGCAGGAGAGCCAGGCGGTCTCGGAGCTGGACGCGGCGCAGCCCATCTTCGCCGTGGTGGCACGGGAGACGGACGTGGAGAAGCTGCTGGAAGCGGCCAGCTCCTTCAAAGGCTACAAGGAGGGTGGGGCAACCCACTGGTTTAAACATGTTTAAACCACTGGTTATGATGATTCTTTTTTTGTCAAGGTGGGGTTTAAACTCTATTTTGCCCCGACAAGGAGCTGCTCAAGGCCGCGAGCTCACCGGAAGGAGCTGCTCACGCCATCAGGATTATCCACGAGATGCCGTCCATTCTTGCAGTCTTGGAGGACATGGGAGGCCAGCCAGCGAATTTGGAGCACTTGCGCAGCTCGGAGCACGGCCTAGAGATGAGCACCATGGGTCACCTGCTGCTGCCAGCCCTGAAGGCGGAGGTTTTGCTCAACTCAGCCAGGAAGGAGCGTTTCTCAAAGGTCGTTTTCCGCGTGCAGCTGAACTCGGACGCGTACGACCGAGGTCTTGGAGTGGTGGTTGTGCAGTCGCCGTTTCTGGACCGCACCCTGGATAGTTTCGGGTTGCCAGCGTACATCTTCAACGGCTTCGGCTTGTCGGAGGACAAGAACAGCAATGCCATCAAGTTCCATCCAGGATTGCGAGGAGGGCAGCTGAGAGTCGAAGGCGTCGGAGGCTTCGGGAACTCGGAGATGGGCTTCACCCCTAAGAACTGGACACAATCTGGGCACAAGTTCCACTCCTTCGTGGTCACCATTGGCGCGGATGGTGAAAACCAGCTTGAAGTGGTGGGAACTGAAGGCGAGATTTTCAGGAAGGTTTGGAAGAACCTGCTGACCGATGGAAAGCATTTGCCGGCCCTTCATGGCTGGCTGGACTTGGGTCAGGGAACGCTCATGCTGGGCAAGATTGGGCTGGAGGTACACCTTTGAACTCAAGTCGACTGCCTGAACGTTCCGGTATCAGCGAGCTTGCTGCTCACTGACACTGGACGAATTCCTGTACCAGCTGGTGGAAAATCCAACGGAGGGAATCAGACAAATGCGCTTAGTTCGGTCACCCGTGCCCAAGGCATGGGACCTGGAGTCATTCCAAGTGCCTTCTGTAGAGAGCCCAAAGATTGGACGCTGCAGAGACCTCTTGGCACATTTGAAGCTTAGGGTTTAGGAGGTGATGCAAGACACTTGAAAGTAGTGACAAGCATTCAATGGAGAACGCACGTACTTTTTCCCCAGATAGGGGTCGGTCATAAACCGAACATTCAGCCACAGGTTAAACGCCTACACAATTCCAGTACAACTCCATGCAAAAGGCGTATGTAAGGCTAGGCCCGTCATCAGCCCAATCCTTTCGAGATCGAACTTCGTTCCACACGAGTTCGCGCCATGAGGTTGCAAGCCCTAGTTCTAGTTGCTTTGCTTATTGCTGGCAGCAACAGCGAGAACTGCTCGGACTGCGAGGATGCCTGGCTGGTTCAGGCACGAGCTCAGACCCGCCCGGCCTGGAAAAGTCCTCGAGACTTGGCCATAGTGGTGCCACCGACGCCCATGTCTTGGGGCCATTTTCAACTTCAATTCCTGAGCGCCATTCCCGTCTTCGGCAACGGGACCAATTACATTGCTCTGCTTCATGACTACAACTTCAATCTTTGGCGCCATGCCACTGAAAGCCAGCTATTCTGCGCTTCTTCGGACAGAAGCCATAAGGCTGCGTTGAAGGTGTGGGGCGGTGAGGCGGACATTCCCAGGAAGAGGATTCTTGCCTTCCATTGCCCTTGGCCGCAAGAGGCAGCAGATGGCAACTATCACCTCATAGTGCAAAGCAATGAAGGCGTGCAGCTTGGGGAGATCCGGACAAAACAAATTCCAAACTCTCTCGGCCGCCACGAAACTATGGCTTGTGTCTCGATAGCTTGGAATGAACCTGGCATAAAGCCGACCAGCACCAGAGTGCCCCAGTGGTTGGAGTACAATTGGATGCATGGCGTTGACCACTTTTTGTTGTACACTCAAGACGGTATGGACGAAGAGGTTCTCCAGGCGTACCGACCATATTTGGAGGAAGGCCTTGCAACCCGCATCCACATCACTCCCGTCCAAACCCACTTCCAAGATTATCATGCCGTCCATCACTCAACACACAATTGGGTTGTCAATGACTGCCTATATCGAGCCAAGCATCATGCCCGGTGGGTTTTGTCATATGTCGATTGGGACGAGTACCTGGTAATCAAAGAAAGCGCCCCGCCCACGTGGCACGGACCGCGCTTCATGGCAAATTTGTGGGACCAGGTGGCCGCGAGCGCGTCGAAGACACGAGACGATGTCCATGCTGTGATGCTTGACCGCTACAACTTCGCAACCTCACCGGTCTCGGAGCTAGATATCACATCTACGCTGCGGGAGCGTCAGGTTGTTGTGCCACCTAAATACGTGATGAACCCTGACGCGTTGAATGCTGCCATTGTTCACCGGCCTGCAAGTTGGGCAGAAGGTACCGTCGCTCTTGTCGTGCCAAGGCACATGGGCTCTTTCAATCACTACAGATTGCCCGAGGAGAAGGACCTTGGAAAAAAAAGGGATGGCATGGTGCGGGACGAGGCTCTGGTCCCAGAAGTGCCTGTCCTCGGCAAGGCCATCAGAGATCGCTTCAGGAAGCCCTGGGAGAAGCTGCTGCTCGAGCTCACGCCGGTGACGGCGGTCAATTTTTCGGCACAAGAGGTGCTGGCAGCTTCGAATTTGATCAGGGCCGATGCGGTGGGCAATGCATCCGAGGTTCAGACCATCAGCCCTTTGAGCGGTCTCACCGGAACAGGACTGCGGCTTTGAAAGATGCGAAGCAGTGGATAGCAGACACCCCCGTTATGCGATGGTTTTTCCAACGACCACCGCACCCCACCCCACCCCCGCTGATTCGGCGCCGCTTCGACTCGGCGCTGCTGCGATGCGATGCTTGAGGCCAGCGGCAGCTGTCGGAGCTCCAGGAGGAGCAGCAGCAGCTGCAGAGCCAGGAGGAGGCCTCCCAAGCCGAGCGCGGTGGCTGAAGAGGGGGGTTGGGGAGGGTTTGGAGGGTTGAGGTTTGGGAGGTTCTTGGGAGGGGGGTTGGGGGCTTGGCGGGTTTGGAGGGACTGTTGGGAGGAAGGTTTGAATGGCGGGCGATGTTTGCGCTTGTTGTTCGTTTTTCTTCGAAGGAGGGTTGCTGGACATGCGAAAAGGGTGGGTTCCAAGCATACCTGAAGTCATGCATGCCGTGTTTGTGCAGAGTCCAAACTGTTTTCGTGCCTTGTGGTTTAGGGTTTAGGGCAACTGAAAACACAGGCCCAATGTGACCCGAGGCTCAACGACCAGGCAGAATCCCGGCGCCAGGAGGCGGCACCTCGGCCTGTTTCTTAGCCCTAGGCTTAAGTCTGCCTTGAGGAATCCCCAAAAATACGGCGCCCCGGTTTTGGCTGTCTGAGTTGTTTGAGAGGTTGTCGTTTGTGGATTTTGAGTTGTTTGAGGTTGGCATACCTTGCGGGGTGGTTCCTTTTAAGGAATGTCATGTTGATGTTGATGGGCTGTACGCTTTAAAGGGAAGCCAAAAGGAAGCTGACCACTTTGGAGCTCCATTTCCTCATTCTGAGACACACTGTTGGTTTAAGGTTGCATCCGAAAAGGGAACTTGTTGTAAGACAACTAGCCGAATTGTCTTCACAGCTGATCCTTGCGAATGTCTCTGTTCCTGGCAGGAAATGAGATCACAAGAGTAGGAGCTCGGTTTTCGTCTTTTGCGCTGGCATTTCCCAGGGACTAATAAGGGTTCCCATTGCTTGGACCCGAAGCGTATTTCACAAAGCACGCTTACGGCCTGAGTGGAATGTCACCAGAAGCACTATCCTTTCACATATGAACGTCAATATGTATCCTTAGCTTGAGTATGCGTTGTGTGTTGTTTCAGTTTTATCGTTCGTTGCGAAACAAGAAGTTCCAGAAAGACAACATCTCAAAAGAACCATTAAGCTGAATGCAATCTTCCTCCATGTCGCTTTTCTACCAGTCTTCTTTGAAACTTGAGTAGGAGGATTGGTTCTGAGATGAGTGTACGCTTGCGAGCAATGGCTTGGCAAATGATGTCTCGATCCGAGGAAAGCCGAAAGAAGCAGCACAAAGAGCTGAAGGGCCAACTGGACCAGACCAAGAGGGACATGATCGAGGACGCTCTGACAGTTGCCCAGCCCGGTTTTGCGACCTGAGATGGACAGAGACACTCTTTGGCCTGAAAGGAGTGAAGTATCCAGTCAAATATGCGGAAACCTCAGACCCAAGTTAAAGCCTTTCCTGGGCTGTGCTAGAGCCAAAACACCGCTTTACCTGGGGTTTGGCAGTGACGGCCACGGACCCCTCATTTGGATTGACAAGGATTGCCCTTTCGAGGAGCCATGATCATGGCCCACAGGAATTGCGACAGAGGCACATGTGAGGTAGACTCCCCAAAATTGAGCTCTGTTCGCAGGAGCAGCGCCGATACAAGGACGGGCAAGTGACTCCCTGCTGGAGCAAAGGCAAGACTGGTGACGGTGAAAGTGGTCGGCAACTTCAACGAAAAGGTTTCAGCTGCTGTTTTTGGGAGGGGTGCTCTTTATTTGCATATTTTGGTTTGATGTGGCTGGTGCTAGGCGGGTACGACTTTCTTTTCTCCAAAGCTGCGGCAAAAGAAACAACAACTCCGCGCTTTAGCCACCATGCCCGTAGCTGGGGCCCTTTGACCATTCTATGTGGCTAGCCCCATGGCTCATGGTCATGCTGGCTCAAGTCTTGCAAAGTTTTTCCGAGAAAGCGGCCACGCATCATGCCGCGTTTCTGGAGCTGCAGGGTTTTGATCGTTTGGGAATGAACTTTCCGGAATGGACGCTGTTCGGATTTCTGTGCACCAACCGTTTCGGTGTAAACCTCACAGCCATGTGTTGGGGCCCGCTTCTTGGCCAAATCGGCAGCCCAAGAAAGCGGCGCTTGGAGGGCTTGACTTTGAGCCGAATTGGATTTCCAAACACAAGCAGTTGAAGGGAACTCCTAGGAGAAGATGGCGGAGCTTAAGAAGCAGGAGCAGGAGATCCAAGGCCCGTAGCTCGCACCCCTCGCACCCGTCGCACCCGCACCGCGGTGTCGCGTCCCGGAGTCCCGCGTGTTTCTGGGTGATCGGACCAAGAGGACAGAGCCGCGTGCTCAAAACCCGGGCAGATGAAGGTTAGTAAGGGACAATCCCAACCATAATACCGGGTTTTGATCATGACTCAGGTTGAGAACTGTTCTCTTGAAACAACGATACCTGAGGAGTCAACCGCCCGAGCGCATCCAGAGTGTGTTCGGATCCTGGAATTTATGGCCCATGGGCGGATGGACCCCTGTCGCTGCTGGGTAAAAGGGATGCCGAATCCATTTGAAGCGTTCCACTTCAAGCAAAAAAGCAACCAACAAGGGTCCAGGTTGAGAAAAGGAAAGAAGCGGGTTGCATCCACCTGCTTTTTTGGGCAGATGCCGTCACTGTCTTGCACATCACAGATCTCTAGTGCCTGGAATTCGCAGGTGGTCCAGTTGTCGGCCAGCTTTTCCCGGTGACCGTGTCTGGGAACCCTCATTGGTCTTCTGTTGGTTTCCCTTGACGATTTTTCAAGCGCTCCTTGACAAGGCCTCATGAAGCTGGATCACCCAGAGACCTGTGAATCTTGTTTCTCAAGACAAAGGCGACGATGGACATCTCCCCAAGGCATTTGAACACAGCCCAATACTGACCACCCTTTGTGAATCCACTCGCTGGGGGGGACAGAATGAATATCAGCAGTGACTCATTGGCAAAGGCTTTGGAAGAGTCGCCCCGGGTTTCTTTTTCTTTTTACTCGGTTTGGTCGCCTTGCGTTCCGTTATGTCATCTCTCAGTGAGGGAGGCTTTCTGGCGGGCTTTCTCGCCAGGCAAGATCGAGAAGGTGGTCAAGGAAACGGAGGAGTTCAACCGACAGTTCGGGGAAGAGCAGGACGGGAAGTTCGTGGCGACGCGGAGAGACCGGGCAGACCCCAAAATTTTGCTAAGGATTCCCTCTTACACGGGCCATCCGACCAGAAATATGGATGTGAGAGTAGGGAGAGGGTTGGTCTGAGAACAAGCGAGTTTTTGAGGGCATTATTTGTTTGTCTTCAGCGTTGGTTCAAATGTACCTTTCCGAGGACGCTCGTCTCGCCTTAGGTCTCGTCCTGATCTTGCGCTGTGCTGGCTCGTCCCCTCTTTTCTGCTGCCACCCAATCCTGGATCCTTTTTTTGCTGTGTGCCTGGACTCTCTCTTTGACGTAGTGACGCAAACCCCGGACCTGTGTTTGTCGCTCGTGGCAGAGATAGTCTTGCTGCCTCATCGGTTTCCACTGGCCTTTGACTCTCTTGGCCTTTGCTTGCCTGTGCTTTGGTCTGCTATGAGGCGTTCTGCGTGTTTTCCGCCCTCTCGCTTAGTCTCGCTGGCGTCCAGTTGCAAGGGGTGACACATCAGATGGTTGTCGCAAGATGGTGGTCGCATCAGTATGCAGAATTGATATATTTTGATGAATCGACAACATTTTGTGAAATCGGCAGTTAGTTTGCGGGATTCCGTGAAAGCATGTTGAAGTTGCAATTCTATTGGTGGAAGCACTGGTTTTGCTAATTCCCACTGGAATTGCAAGCACAGAGATTGAAGCAACACAGATGCATGAAAAACCATAGGAATATCAATGTTTTTGACCGCTTCGCTGCTGCGAGCATGGCCAAAAACCCACGGCCATCTACGGCGCGTGGACCTAGTAGTTACATACAACCTGCTGAAAGGATTTCTATTCGCCACTTGCCATGAGGCTGATGGTCGCAGCAGTGGCGGAGGTTGGTACAACCACTGACTTCAGGCGCCACAAGGGCTCATTTGAACTCAGAGCCATCTGGGCAAAGCTGCGACCTGAGGACCCTGTGCGTTTTGGCTTCGTCGTCTTTTACGGCTTCTTCAAATCCATCCCTGACAAGGGGTCCTGACTTGGTTTCCAGCTCGGGCGAAAAGGGTCCAGAAGCTGATGGCCCGTTTCTCTTCCCCGAAAGAATTTTGGCCACGTGCCACAGCAAGCCTGTGACTAGTCTCATGCACTCGAAGGCGGTCCTCAACTGTGCAGTTGTGACACGTTCTTATCAAGACCCGAATCATCTCCCTGCATGTGGTCTTCCCACAGTCCCAAGGATCACTGCCCAGCAGACCCATTTCTTGGAGTCTAGCCGTGTTGGATTCTGGCAGATGCCTCTGTGTATGGGTTTCCCACAAGTTTGCCCCGCTCCCTGACCCGTCCTCCCTTTGCCCGTTCGATCGAAAAAGCCCAGGAGTCGCTCTCTAGCAAGCGTGCCTTGGTCTGATGGGGGGAGTCCCGCTGGATCGAGCACCGGAGTTTCTCAAATCGCCCGAGTGTGTACCCCTTTGGAACCTTTGCGCGGGATGGTTTCAAACTGCAAGAAAAGGAGGCTTTGCCGCTGCCCCCGAAAAGGACCTCACGAAGCAGGGCAAAACCGGGGGCCGAGCTCGTGCCACAGGCTCTCCAGTGCAGCGTCTTTCATTTGTGGCTTGCAGCGGCGCTTCTTCCCACGTGACTGCCAAAACCTCTGAACCAAGTGATTCATGAGTGGCTCCCCCGGATTGAGCTTGCCATTGTCATGCTTTTTTTCACATTCTTTGCTCCTGTTTGGGTTTCCATGAGCCTTGTCTTAGCAACTCATTGGCTTGTGTGGGTCTTGGCACGCAGGCGCCACCCTGCAGCAACAGACCCAGAAGATCGCCACCCAGGTGCTGATCATTGGTTCGGTTGAAAGCGACGGCAGCGCGCAATGTGGTGGAGCTTTGGACGTGACCCTTCGACGGTGGGCAAAGTTTTTTTTCTTCCTCTTTTTCTTCTTATTTTTTTTCGTCTCTATTTTTCCTTTTTTAATCTCATGTCCTCTCCCAGTCATGCGGGGAGAGATACTGCTGGAAGCCGCTTTTTGGGCATTTCGCATTGGCAGCTGGAGAAAGGAGGGTTGACAGCGTCAACTCGCAAAGCTGCAGACTCTGTTTTGCAGTGGCGCCATTGTTGCCAGCGTAATTCGAGCACTCGACCCACGTCACACAGGAAGGCCTCACGGACTGCACGTTGAAACAGACTCCCACGGACACCTTTAAAGCCCAACCCCTATGGAGTTGACGTAACAACAGTGGTTCAAACATACCGTTATAAACCCAAAGTCAGGTAGTTCAAACAAGTAGCTGTTCCAGAGCAGTTCCGCAAGCAGACGGGCCAGTTAGGAATAGGTGAAACCAGTATAGTTCGCCTTCGACTTTTTTGCTCTCCTTTGTCCAACAGTTCAAACACGGAATCTCAAGAGTCGGTGTCTCAAGCGCAAGAATCAAACACCTCACGGCCTCACGGCCGTTGGCCCCTCACAGAGCGAGCGATGGGCAGGTGGAGGCCTTGCAGGAGGAGAGCAGATCCTCCAAGGCGATGCTCGAAGAGGCGAGATGTCGTGAAAAGGAAGCTCAAGGTGCTGGGGAGGTTTTCTGGATTCGGAGGAATGGCTGGGTGGAGGCTTTTTGGAATGGTTGGAAGGTTCAGTGCCCAAATCCTGATCTGGGAGTTCCGGCTTCCCTTTTGGCTTGAAATGGAATGAAATGTACCTGGGCAAGGAAGTTCCCCCCCCAATGCTTTGGGGGCCATGGATTACGAGGGGGGGGGGTCTTGTGCGATTCTTCGTACAAAGAGGGCGAAAAGGTTTGGGAAACCAAACATCGAAATCAAATTCTACAATGCTTTCACAACCCAAATTTCTCACGAGCAATCAGGAGGACGGGCCCCAATTTTTCAATGCCCTCTTGGGAAACGAGCCAAATATTGCTTGCGCGCCATATGACCTCATTTTCCTCTGGCTCGTTAAACAACAACTCTTATTCCCTATGCTAGGATGCAATGATTTGCCTTGTTGTGTCCTTCTACGGATTCGTTTTAGCACATAATCCAACATGAACGTCTTCAGTCGGGACGCAACAGGTTTTCCCATTTGATTCGGAACAGGAGCAGAAGAAGCAAGAGGAGGAGGTGGCAGAGCTCGACCGCTGCTTGTCCGCACTAAACAGCGTGAGGGGTTGGGGGGGAGAAATCACTTGGCTGGGACTGGGTCACGGGGTCGACATTCATGTTGGAATTGAGTGGCTTGAAGGAGGACCTCTTTTTAACCAGGAACCGGTTTTTGACCTCCATTTCAAGTTTTCATCGGTGTAAAAAAGGCTCGGGGTTGGAATAATCGAGTCCCCTTGTTCAAGTCAAGTTTGTCGTTTTAGTTGCCAAACGTTTCTTGGGTGGGGTGCTGTTTGTGGCTGAAGGTGGGCTGTTGTTGATGCCATCTATGAAGCAGGAACATCCACAATCCGAGTCGGCGGTCGGTCGAAGATTTGGGTAGGTAGAATGTTGCTTCACTATTTTGGGAGCATCTTCTTATTTGGTTCTTTGGTGCTTTGGTTCTTTGGTTCATTGTTTATCTTCAGTGGTGGGGGAGGGCTGCGAAGAACAACGTTGTTGTTGAAACACACTGCACATGCTATTATTTCAAACTCCATTTTGGTCACCCGTCAAAGTTAAGCACGTGAAACGCACCTCTTCGCCAGCAAGAAATGTTTCCGTGGACCTGGCGGCGGGTTCAAATTGTTTGGGGGGGGTTGTGACCCGCCCCGAGAAACTGGGAGCCTTCTATTTGGAGCCCCTGGGATGGACTCCAAATTTCATGTTGTTTCCGATTTCCCTTTCACCATGCAGAAGGGTGGCTATAGTTAGCACCCCTTCTTTTGCATCCGCCTTCAAACCTGCCGTACTGCAACCCAAAGAACACCCCTCCCGACCCCGGCCTCTCTTGCACCCCTCTCCATTTTAACGAACTCTTATTTTTTGGAAAGGGGCTGGGCAGAATGCGGTGGCCCTCTTTGCGTCTCCAGGCAAGCTCGAGGAGTACTCCAGCCAGCTGCCTGGCTGCAATCGCTCGGCACGGAGCAGACTCATCGAACAGAACGAAGGGATACTCACACCGATGGCCAAGACCTGCCACCTAACCTTGGTCCCGTCGAAAATGGCCCCGTTTCGTTTTTCTCTTGGCCGGTCTGGTCAAAACAGTGGCAGGAAGTCTTGGAACAAGGCCCACCCCCAAAGAAATGCAAGCTGTTTTTGTCCGTTTGCTTTTCCCTTTCTGGTGACCTTAAGATGGGTACCAGCAAAACACCCCCACCCACAGCCATTCGGGAAGCTTCGGCCTGCAGGAGCCGCGCGCTCTCGGAGGAGCTGGAGAAGCTGGCGGCGAGCCGAACCGTTGAGGTCTCGAGGGCGGAGAGAGGGGGCTGCCTTGGCCAGCCCTGAGTCTCCTGATCGCTGACTGAGGGGACCTATGATATTGTTTTCAACCGTGTTGATCAATCTTAATTTTTTGAGGACTCACTGTATAGGAACCTGTTCACGGAAGCCTTGGACGGGACTTCTCCAAATGTCCAGCCTGTTCAGTCAGCGAGCCTTTCGAGCGGACGTGGATCTTTTTGGAAAACTAGGAGTATTCTCCATAAGGAGGTTCCTTTTAAGGCGTCCCCTTGGTTTCCTTTCGGTTTCCCTTGAACAAGGCTCCACTCCCCCCCCCCCCCCGTACTGGCGCAACCACGCCCCTCCGATGCTTCGCCAGGAGCCGGACGGTGAGGAGATCGAGGCGAAGCTGGAGGAGCTTGGTGAGGACGAGAAGGAGCAGGCGCTTGGCACTCGCTGATTCTGGGTGAAGGAAGCCAACTGAGAAACAAAGGCAGAGCCAGTTATGGAAGCGTTGCCTTTTGGGCTTTGTTTTTTCCCCAGATGGCTGAAAGCAACAGGGGTTCTAACTTCCAATATAGAAGGAAACATGATTTGCGAGATTGACGGCTGGGTGCTGGGGGGGCGTGCAGTTTGGGGTGCTGCTGTACGTGCTGTTTGGGGTGCTGTTTGAGCTGCTGACGACGGCGCGGGCGCGCTTTTGCAGGATTGACTCTGGGGTGCTAGGGGGCATGTAGTCTGGGCTGCAGGCGCAGGTGTTGTTTTGGGCTGCTGCTTGGGGCGCTGTTTGAGGTGTGGTGATGGTGCGGGCGCATTTTGGAGAAATTGACGGCCAGATGCTCTGGGAGTGCTGTTTGGGGGTGCTGTTCGGGATGGCGCGGGCGCACTTTGGCGACTGATCGCAGGGTGCTAGGGGGCGTGCCGTTTGGGGTGCTGGTGCGGGTGGGCTGGTGACGGGCGCGGGCGAATTTTTGCGAGATTGATTGCGGGGTGCTAGGGGGCATGCAATTTGGGGATTCTCGTGCAGGTGCTGTTTTGGGATGCAGTTTGGTTGACGTGCTCTTCGGGCAGTGCCGTTAGAGGTGCTGGCGTGCAATCGTTGCTATCTGGGGTCGATGCTGGTGTAATTTGTTCTGTCGGGTTTTGCTGTTTCTTGGTTTTCCCACCCAAACCCCACCCCAAACCCATAACCCAAATGTCGACAAACAAGCAGAAAATCAAGGCGCCATTCTCCCCGGAGCCTTGTGAAGCACCGGGGCGAGCGTCTCATGGTTGGCTTCTGGTTTTCCCAATGAAATCATATCCAGCGGCTCCAAGTTTTAGGGCAGAGCAAGCGTTCCTGAAAGGTTGGGACCCTACCTTTCGACTCCCAAAAGTTGAGATTTAGGACCTCCCTGTGTTTCCGGAAGGGGGGGAGGTGGGGGTGTCAGGATGCACATGTGGGTGAACCACGTTTGGGGTTATCGGCAACCAACCGGGAAGTGCCTAGTCTTGGTCGCAGGGTGTGTCAACTAAGGCAAATAACGCGACCACCGAGCACAGCACCAATCTCCTTTGGGTTTCCATCAAAGCACCCGTTTGTCGTGAGGGAACCCTTTCGTTGGTTGTTTCACAAATCAAAGGGTACCCCTGTTTGGAGACATTGATTTCCTTTCCATTGGTACTTCTCATCAGAGTTACCTCCCGCCCAGATGCACGCACCTCGCGGCCCAGTCATTTTGTCTCTGGGTGTCCCAGTGGTTTCTCTTCAACGCCAAACATCAACGCCAACCAAACAGGGTCCCACTAAAAGGACAACTACCGCGGGTGAAGGTTGCTTGACTCTTGCCTGCAGGCAAGCCAGAAGGCGTCTCTGAAGGAGCTTGGCTCAGAGGGATGATTTCGAAGGGGGGCTCGACGCTGCAGCTGTTGCAAGCTGGGGATCAGCCGCTTGCGGTGGCTTGCTGGGAGGGTTTTGAAGTTGGCTTGAATGGGGGTACTTTTTCCAATTTTTGTTTCCGTTGGCTTCCCTTTGAACACTATGCAGAAAGGCCAGTTTTGGGTGGCCTTCATACTATAGCAACCACCAAACATGGAGCCATTTCATCAGAAGGGCCCTTTACAGGAAACTCTTCCAGCACCCCTTTGCCATGTGCCATGTGCGTGTCTTTGTCTTGAGGGTACTCTTTCGGCCTTCCGTTGAGAAGTCCAGGTCCTGAGAGCCGTGAAGGGCCTGAAGAGCTGCGACGCCGAGACCCTCACGGAGGCGTTTTTTTCTTCTTCTTCTTTTTCCTTTTCCCTTTTTTTCTTCCGGGGTTTTGGTGGGGGCCAAAAGATGCATGGAGCTTCACAAAGAAACAAAAAGGAAAAACACAAGAAAGATACGGAAACGGGGTGGGTCGCTGCCGGCTCGGCGCGTTGTGGGACTGATTCGAATTCTGGGGATCTCAGATCTGTAGATTTAGGCAATAAGCAGAACATGTTCAAAGAGACAAGCTTTTGGTAATCATTTGCCGACAATACGGGGTGGGAATCGACAGCTGGCCTAGTAGTTTCTGCTGCACCATGGGTGGCTCTTTGCGGATGCGCAGATTTTGGGCCTCACTTCAACGAATTCTGGACTGGAGTGGATAGGGTTCAGTTTTGCCCAGCTGCCATCTGCAAATAGATCTGAGAAGCAAACCACCCCTGTATACCAGCGCTCTGGTCTCGTCTCGTCTCTGGCTCCCTGCATGCGGGTATCTTCCACAGACCCACTGCCCTCTCTGAACAAGGACTTCTGCAGGGGGTTCAGCGAAAATGTGAGGGAGACACACACGAATGCCATCCATGGCAATTGCGCGGAAGACGAAAGGGTTCTTTACAAGACCGTTTTTCACTCTCCCATCGCTCCGCCTCACGCCGGCAGTTGCCCAACCGCATGGTTCGACTTCTTGAACCCGACCGCCCTTTCAACAGCCACTGGCCGTTGAGATAATTTGTTGTTCGTTGTGCTGGGTGTCGACACGAGTTGGACCCCAGATGGGTGCTGGTTCCATTAGCCCGAAGTCTCGGAGTGCTTTGACACTATGAGAGATTCTGTTGCCAATCACCAGGTTTTAAGGGAGGCCCAAAGTAAAACGCGCACTTGGGGGTTCAAGGATGAATGAACCTTACTTTTCATTCCTGAACAGAACGCGCATCAAGGTGAAGCCGGGTCGACCTTTCGAGCCGTTCGGGTGGTTCCTTTTGGCCTGCCAGGCGTTGCAAGCCTTGGAAGTGGCACTCGCGGAACACTTCCCGCTCACAGGCGCGGAGTCAGTAGAGGAATCGGATCATGGCCGGTGCTTTCACTTTGGTTTTCCGAAGAAAAAGGGGTAGCCTCAAAAAAGACGCATGACAAGCCCTAAGTCGGGTTGCGCAGGTGGCTCTTGCACTACCACAGTGATCCGTGTAGTGACCCAATTTGGAGGATCGTGCATTTGTTGAACATTTGATCATTCCATAGGGACACACTTGTTATGGGGAGTCCTTTGAGTGTCCTCGGGATTCATCCGAAGTTGACATCACATGGGTGTTTCTCGCCCTAACACAGGGTGGAGTCCCTCGTGGTTTTCCTTTAAACACCGACCAGAAAGGGTTCCGCCATTTAGAGAGACTCCGACATGCGCGTGTCCGAAACATATATACTGTCGGGGGATCCTGTCACACGGAACTTCGTCAGCCGCTGTTTAAAGTAATCATACCCCAAACGCGACACAAACCGGTGCCAGCGGTTGTCGACACGTTGTTTTTAATCTCAACCCCAAACCCCTCAAACCCCAAACCCACCATCCCCCAAACCCCCTGAACCCAAACCGCCCAAACCTCTGCCCCCATGCTTCCCCCGCTTCACCACTTCTCCTTTACCGAGTTTTTGCCGTAGCCACCAGCTAGGCGAATTGGAGGCCGAGCTGCAGGAAGAGGCGAGCGGTGCTCTGGAGGCCAAGGCCAAAGAGCAAGGCCTGAAGTCGCTGCAGGGACCTCGGAAGAACAGTCGCCCGGTGACTCGCTCGTCCACCCCGGGCCGAGGGCAGGAAGAACACTTGGAAACACACGTCCTGCCCACAGGTGTTGGAGGATCTTGCCTTTCAACAATTGCTTTTGTGGGTTGTTTAGGGTTTAGGGTTGTTTCGGGCTGGATAGTTGGAAACTTGCGCTTGTCGGAATTTGTTTTAATTCGACGTAGGATCTTTTGGGCTTTGGGTGTATTTAGGAGCTGAGGTCGTGTGTCTTTCCAAGTCGCTTCGTTGTGCTTCCACTGGGCCAGCTGGAAAGCCAGCCCGCAGGGACCAATGACACACTCTGGCAAATTCATGGAGTTCCTCAAGGGGACAATCAGGCACGGTGACGCACACGTACACACACCGGCTAAATTGGATGTTTAGGGAGGTTGATCAATATTAGGGGTCGTCTTCGGCTCGATCCATGTCTGTTTCCCTGAGCGAGTTTCCTTTCAAGTCATAGATGAAGGGGGACATATAGGGAAACCCTGCGGGCTGTAGAAACCGTCGAGTTCGACTCTTCCCCTCTCAGGTCGCACTTTGCCAAGGGCCACGGCCTCGGCACCGTTTCGCCGCGAGGAATGGGCAGTGACGTGGACATGTCGGTGGAACGAAACCAGCCCAAGGAAAAACACGGGAGCCAAATTCTTGGCTGGTTCGACTGTCTTCCCCTCTCAGGTCGCACTTTGCCAAGGGCCACGGCCTCGGCACCGTTTCGCCGCGAGGAATGGGCAGTGACGTGGACATGTCGGTGGAACGAAACCAGCCCAAGGAAAAACACGGGAGCCAAATTCTTGGCTGGTCTTTGGGGCCGGATCTGTGGCACAATGTTTTGTTTTTGTGCGCGCGCGCGCGCGCGCGTGTGTGTGTGTGTGTGTGTGTGTGTGTGTGTGTGTGTGTGTGTGTGTGTGTGTGTGTGTGTGTGTGTGCGAGAACGACTCATGCAACCTTGTTGCCCAGGCGATGCGGAGGCGCGGGCTTTCGAGGGGGGGGGGGCTGCCGAAATGTTCTCACGTCGGAAATGTTCTACAGAAGAGATTCTCCAGAAGGGTTGGTTTGCTGGTTTCCCTTCAGGCGTCATCCCAAACGGGATTCCCAGGAGGTTTCAGCTCCTGAAAGCCAAGGAATGGGAGCAGCCATCTTTTTGGTGTAGGCTTCGATGGACTCTGTATGTGCTTTCTATTTGTCAGGCAAAATTTTGTCTCCCTCTCTGGGTGATTTGAGCATCACCTTGGGCCACTTTAAAAAGAGGTTCCTCACTGCGGTCATGTGCAAAGAACATATGGCTGTGGCTCAAACAACCGGTACCACAACGGAACCCTGGTAAGTGGAAACATGGACCAAAACCTGCGTAACCCCTCCTGTTTAATTTTGAGCCACACCCTATATATATATATATATACACCAGGCCATACATATCAACACGTGAATAGATTTATTATATTTATTATAGATATACACGCACAACCATCCTGCCTTGCTACAAGAGCTGGCAGAAGGTAAGCCTCGCAAGGCCTGGAAGCTGAGGGAGACTGCGTTTGACAGCTGCCCCTTGTCCCAGTTGCCAAGTGAGTTCCATTCCTTGTCTTTTCTGCCTTTCGGCCGGTTCTTCTTGACACTGAATCAAAGCACAGCAAATCAAGTTAATGCAAATTACATGAAGTCAACTCAACCAACCCCAGTGGTGCCTTTTGCAAGGGCACTCAGGCAACCAGGGTGAACATAAATGGTGCCCTTCAGTGGACGATCAGCGTTGCTGATTCCAAGCATTGCGTCATATCGACCTTCATCCAAACTGTACTGAATACTAGTGGCTCTGAAGCCGAGGGAAGGTACGCGGAAGGCCTTTTTTTGAATAGACCCTCTGTGTAGGAATAAATACATGGGCTCCCTACAGTGTGCGTTTCCTCTTGGAGGTAAGCGGCTTTTAGTTTTCCGGGGCCAGGACAAGGATGAGGATGAGGATGAGGAGGACTCCCGAGCGCATTCAATCCAATCAGACCCAACGCAACGGGTGCCGCCCAGGAAAGAAAACGCGGGCCAGGGTGGGCTGTCTCCAAAAAGTTGCTGGGAAACCAGGTACACCCTCAAATTTGGGTGTGGTTCCCCTCTAGTTCCCCTTCAAAACCGCTGCAAGCTGGGAGCCAGCAAAAAGGAAGCGAGCCCACATTTCAATAGTCAGGTCATGCCGCATGCCCCGCGCAAGGACAAGGACGAGAAGGAGTGAGCTAGAGGGAGGGATCGCCTGCATTCGTGTTGCCCTTTGCTTTGAGATGTCTTGGCTCCATTTGCTTGGACCTGTTGCCTCGAACACGGGACAGAGCAAATATGTGCTTTTTCACCAACAGAAACGAAACAGACGAGGTTCTTGCGCCAACTTTGTGAGAAGATGAACATGTTGCCCACCAGCCCAACCAGTCGGACTTCTTTGCAAAAGGGTCGATAGGCATGGACCTGGGTCTTGCTTTGGGCCTTCAGTGGAAGCGAGAGGACCCTTTTCAATCGGTCGCACTTCCTTGGCCCAAAAACAAGTGCCGACATTTTCTTGGTCCTTTTCTTCAGGGGTGGTTTAAAATAAAGTGTCAAACGCGCGCCCTTCTTTCCCATGGCGGAGTTCTGGGAAAGCGTCTGACAGCATGCCCAAGTTTGAGTAGCGCAGCAGGCAGCGTTTGGGCCGTCCCCCCCGCCCCCCCCCCCCCCCTTGTTTATTTTTGTATGTTTTTTCTTCTGCTCCTTTCAGGAAGAGGAGGAGGATGTGGACATGGAGAAGGAGGACAAGGATGAGGATGACAAGGAGGACAAGGAGGACAAGGAGGAGAAGGATGACAAGGAGGAGAAGGATGATGATGATGAGGAGGCCGACTCTGGGAGAGTTGCGTTTGGTGTCTTGTGCTTGTCACAAGTCCACGCAACCTGTCACTAGACCTGTCAGACCTGCGCACGTGTTTGCGCGTGTCCTAAAGGTGGAGGGCGTTTGAGCATGGGTGGATTTCTTTTAGCATCCCTTGAGAAAACCAATCCGAAAGGATTCCCACCCGGCCAGCCTTGGTTTCCGCTTTTGAGCATGAAGAAACGGCATCCCTTGATGGCCTTCCTGCCTATGGGTAGCCTAAGGCTCACAGCTTCAAATCTGTGTTGTGAAGGTTCTGCCGTCTATGTGGTTGGCAGGGGTCTTCAAGGATGTGCATTTTTGACTATGATGACACATATGTATGTATAAATAAATAACCAGATTGATGGGAACATGTAGAGACATGCTAGTTGTTGGATTAACTGTTATTGGAGGAAAACTTTGGGGGTTTGTTTAGTGCGCTCCAAGAAGAGAAGGCTTTGTCAAACTGATTGTTACTACCAGCTCACTCTTTGGGTGTGCCATTTTTTGGGGGGGACCCCCTTGGTCTTTCTTCTCGGGACCCGAATTCGGACGCCGTCTGCCGGCCAGGAGAAGTCGAGGCCTTCCCCGGCCCCGACGGAGGACCGATTTGATCGGGGTCGGATCCGGTTCCCGCGAGTGGTGCGCCCGTGGCGCCGGGGGGGGGAGGGGGGGGGCTGCTTATTGCCTAGGGTAGCAATTTGCGCCGGGGTGGGGCTTCTTAAGGTAACATCCGGGCTTCCCGGAGGTTGGCTTTGGAAGTGCTTGTTGAAGTTGGTCTTAAGCCCACGCTCGGCAAAAAGCCGGTTTTGAGGAGCTTTACAAACCTGAAAGGATACTCAGGGGGAGACTTTGGTCATGAAACAATAGCCCCTGCAATAGGGTAAAGCAAGAGGATTGGAGTTGAGGATGCCGACTCCAGCCATGAGTTGCTCTGAAGGGTTGCATTGAAAGGATGAAGGCATGCTTGCAGGAAACAGGGTTCTCGGGCCACTTTCCCTGTTACCGGGAATCCCCTTAAAGTGGAATGACTCATGGGTGAGTTTCCACAACCATGGAGGGTGACAACCTGACTGTCCGGCAATCTCGGGATGCGGTCAACGATCCTTCGGTGCGGTCCGGCGGAGCCTTCACAGGAAGGTCTGGTCAAGAAGCATCAGGAAATCAACCACAGCAATGTTGGCCCCGGATGAATCAATGCAGAATAGGGTCCTTCCAAGTGAAGGTGGGAAGGATCTCCCTCCAAAATGGGACACCTAGTAATCGAGCCGGGGTTTATAGAAAGGTCAACAAATTATTCACGACGTGTTCCTGAACAATTGAACCACCACGAAAGGGGGGAGGTGGCTTTGTCCCCAGCGGAGCATTCGCCCCTGCACATCGTCAGGAGGTCCCAGACCCGCGCAAGGAGTCCGAGGACACCCCTGGCGCTTGTGTCTATTTCTGGTGTTGCTTGTTCTTCGGCAGGTTTTGGTTTGCTTCTTTGGTTCCTTGATAGGTTTTGGTTCTTTGGTAGGTTTTGGTCGGTCTTCTATTGTTTTCCCCTTTCCATCATGCATGTTGTTTTGCTATGCTGCTTGTCTGGGCGTCCAGAGGCTTGCGTGGGCGTGCTTTTCTTTTTGAAATTGTTTGGTTTGATTTGTTTCTTTATTGATTGTTATTTGTTGTTGTTCTTTGTTATGTGTTCTCTTTGCCCCTTGCGTGGTTGCTATGTTTGTATTTATTTGTCTGCCTGCCTGCCTGCCTACCTATCTGTCTGTCTGTCTGTCTGTCTGGCTGGCTGGCTTGCTGGCTGGCTGGCTGTCTGTCTGTTGTCTGTCGGTCCGTTCACTCGCTCGCTCACTCGCTCACTGGCTGGATGTCTTGCTTGCTTTGCTGTGCTTTGCTTTGCTTTGCTGTGCTTTGCTTTGCCTTGCTTGTTTGCTTGTGCCTCGTTGCTGTTTGATGACCTCACTTTGCTGTTGGGTACCAACAGGTGTCTCTTTAAGTGAAGGGCCCTTTGTTGTAGACACAGTGGAGGCCCCACGAATTTTTGCAGGCACCTTGCCTGCTTTCTCTCTTTCTCTTTTTCGTCTCTCTCTCTCTTTTTTTTTTTTTTTCTCTCTCTCTCTCTCTCTCTCGCTCTCTTTCTCGCTGTTTGGCTTGTGAGTTTCTCGCTCCGTCTCTCCTTCTTTCTTTCTTTCTTTCTTTCTTTCTTTCTTTCTTTCGATCTTTCTTTCGATCTGTCTTTCTCTTCTTCTTTCTCTTTCTCTCTCTCTCTCTCAGGTGCGCGCAGTTCGCAAGGGTCACGGGATGTTGGGAAAGGCAGGAGTGAAACCCAGTTGGAACTAACTTCCCTGAGAGCCAGGAGAATCGCGAGCAGCTGCAGCAAGCTGCGGAGCTGAAGATCCTGCGGGCCATCAACGCGGCGCCTCGCCATGGAATCCCCCTGCCCCCCCCGTCAGGGGCGTTCAATGGCCAGCCGCTACCAAAAGGGTACATACAGATCCCGCAAAAAATCCTGGCGGGGTGCCATTTTTGGCTTGAAACCTGTTATTTGTTCCCGACGGACGCTCTTTTTGGCAAATCAACCATCCCTGGGTTCACGTCTGGACAATGCAACAATGGAACCCAAGCCTTACCAAACAAATGCAAGGGGATGTTCCACTTACCTGGTGAATGGCGCGGACATTCTTTGGTAATGGCGGACCTTCGATGTGTTTTGTTCCTTTTGAACTGGACCATTTGCTGATGGCGGTGTAGTTTGCTTGGGTGTGAGCCGTGGTTCGATGGGCCTTGTTCAAGGCAACTGCTTTCTTGCAAGGCATGCGGTCGAGGTCTGTTCTTTTTTTTGGGGGGGCTTGTTGAGTTCTTCTCTTGGTGGAGGGGATGGGTGATACAGATTGTTGACAAAGGCAGCAAGCAACAACCGAGGTTCGATCAAACCGTAGGGTCCATTGTCAATTTGTGCGGGATATCGGACTCCTGAAATTCCCCGCAGAACAAGGGACTCAGCAATTTCCCTACATGTTTTTTTTCCATAACTTCTCTTTTAGGGGCAAGGACTGTGGCTCAACCGTAAAGCAGATCGGCGGCTGCTGCTGGCATGGTTTGGAGGCAGCGCGGATTCTGCATGGCTGCATAGGGAACCAGGCACAGTACTGTGGCCAAAACCCTCAGCACTTTGCACACACTTGCCCCGTTTCATCAGCATGTACTGTCGCAATCAAATATAATGATTAAACACATACACATTGTCACTTGTGTTCCGAACTTGTGCAGATCTACCTAAACCAGCCCTTTGCCAAAACAGAGTTCAACAGCCTTTCGGCAACGAGGATTGTTGCAAACAAGTCATTTGCGCACATGTCTATTGTGGGACTTGTTGACGCTGCAAGCCCTAGATCAGGATGAATGCCATGAGAAACGTACAAAGTGTTTTTGATGTCAACACACCGCGGAACATGCAGCAGAGAGGACCGATCGTGGGTGTGACAGTAGGGTATTTCCCTTTCCTTCGAACGCACCCGAACATTTCTCCCCCTCAGAGGCAGTGCCATGCCGTTCCTCCAACCCCAAACTCAAACATAGACCGGGCTCGGTACAGCGACTTCCTCAAAATCACTCTCTCAGGGAAATCCCCCCAAAATAACCTTGAGAGCCCCTCACAAGGTTCGCAGCAAGGCACTTGAAAGGCACGGTGAGTTTTGCCGAAGCTCCCTTTCCCACTCGGCCGCTGAGGTGCGAAAGTCCAAAGATGCCAAAGCCTTTACGGAGGCGCGGCGCGCTGAAGTGGTAAAAGGTCGCTTTGGGCCCTTTGTGGTTGGCCTCAAAGGGAAACCGAAGGAACCAGCGGGAACCAGCGGAAATCAACGGAAACCAGCGGAAGCCAACGGAAACCAACGGAAACCAGCGGGAACCAACGGAAACCAACGGAAACCAACGGAAACCAACGGAAACCAATGGAGGCCCCAGGTTTGGCGTTCAAAAAGAGAGACCAAAGGAAGCCAGCCATTAGGATCCGGTTTCCATTCAAGACAACTCCACTTTGGGGAGGTGCTACGTCTATGCACCCCATTCTTTGTGTCTTGCTCCTTCCCTCAGGCGAAGGCAGCTTTGGAGAGCCTTGGAGTGCAGCTGAGTCTCACGCTTTGGCTGATCTTTTTGGGTTGTCAAGGATAGTGCCCTCCCTGCAACATTTCTGGAATCTGACAGGAAGGGTGTTGGAAGACTACTTCTTCCTTTGGGGAGGCCAGCGTTGCCTTTTCCTTCTGGCCTTGAGGGCAGGATAATTAATTCCACGAGGGTGCCGGTGCGGCGCTTGCTTCTCAAATCAAAGGAAAGTCATCAAAGCCGAGCTCCCCAACGCAGGCGCGGGGATTCGGAATTTGGGGGGGGGGGGGGAGGGGGCGGGGATTCCTTGGCGGCTGAGTGGTGGCGTGACACAAGAGATTGACCCAGGTATTCAGTGTGTTTCACCCATTTTCCCTTTTGCTTGGCGGGTTCTCCATTGAAAATTGGATCAGCCCCAAAAAACAGGCTCCCCAGGGACACTGACCAGGTGGGCCAACCAGCATGGCTCCTATTCCAAATTCCATACACAAATGTCGCAAGCTTGATTCTGGTCCAGACAAGAAGCGTTTTGACCACATTTGTTCGTTTTTGAGAATCATTTTCAATCTTTTAGGTTATGGAATCAAACATGTGATGTTTGGTTGAGGGCAAACGCAAAGCGCAGGGCTACTGGACGGCGATCCCTCCGGGAGCATGTCCAGGTTCGAAAGATGAGCACTCTACGTGAGGTGCCCTTCCAAAGATGGCTTGAGTTGCCCTTTTCTCTTTTTTCCATGTTATTTGATGTGTTTGGCTCGGTCTCGGGGTATTTGTGGAGTTTCCAACATCAAACAGGGTCTGCGGGTTCCTGTCTTCGACGATGGTTTCCACTACCCCCACACTACTAGCCCCACACCACTACCCCCAGGAGTTTAGTGGGATGCTCAACCACGATGTGGCAGCAAAAGAGTACACGCTCCCCTTCAGATTAGGGCCCTGTTTTTGGGTTCTATGTTCGGGAAGCACTATATCACGTTTTTCTAATTGGCGGTTTGGATTGGTGGTTTGAATCCCTGGTTCTTGTAGAGGGTAGATGGGAAACCAGCCCTTATCCACCAAACCAAGCCAAATCACGTAGATGAAACTGACTCTAGGTCCCCCAGTAGTGCACATTTACCCTTTTTTGGGGGAGGGTTCCCCTACTAAAATAGACTACAGAAAAAAGGGTACCCTTATTCTATCCTCTTTACTGGAGGAGCTGGGACTATATACCCACCTTTTACCCGCAACACGGATGCATACCCTGTAAAGCTACCGTCGGGGTAGTGGTCTGGCCATCGAGGCGCCGTGGCCGAGGAGCTCAGCCGCTGCCTGAGGTTCTTGGGTCCATTGGGCTAGGTGACTCTGATTGACATGGAACCCAGAAAGCCAGCAGAGAGTCGCTTTTGGGAACCCTTTTTTGGGGTTACATGTTGATTTGGCGGGTAAGTCTTTGGAGGTTGCTTCATTCATGTGATAGCAAAGCTGATCTTGCACTATCATGGCACCTGATTGGGGGACCCTTGCATATTATTTTGCTCACGGCGGCTTCTGGCAGATTCCAGAACGTCGGGAGGGTGCGGCCACCGCTGTTTTCCGGTATTCGACCGGCCCAAGGTGAAGGTCAACTCAACGTGACTAGAGGTCTGAAGCCGGACAGCATCCTCTGGCCCTTTCGGGGTGATTCCCTCGACCTCCTCCCAGCCATTTCAGACGCCGAGGCGCCGAGGCGGAGCACACCGTGCAGGAAAAGTCCACCGTGCTGGGGGTCCGTCCGGTTGCTCAAGACGGGGGCGGAATGGAGCTGGCGGGGGGCACACTGACTTATGGAAGGATGTTTCTATACATGTCCTCATTTGCATCCAGAAGGGACATTGTTTCGAAGAGGCAGGATTGGCAAAGAACTAGGAAGCACCGCGCGCGCGCGCCCTATGGAGGAGACGATGATGCTTTTAGTGCGGCCGCTGCGCTTTGTTGTTGATTGCTGGCAAAGAGGATCTAATCAGTTGTCGCATTTCTGGGTTGTGCTAGATGCCCACGGAAAGCAAGCGAGGATGCCACGTTCGAGCACGTCGCGAAAGTATCGTCTCCTCTTTGCCTCACTTTGGTTGCGATACAGGCAGAATGACAGCTTTTACAGGTGATGGTTTGCACCCAAGAAAGAGAGACCCAAGAGCGGGTTCCTCTGCAAATGAGGACTTGGGGTGCCATGCTAAGGGAGCAGTCGGGAAGAGATAGGCCCAAAAGGTTTCGAGTTCAGAACCAGCACTTCAGGGCGGACTTTTGCATGAAGAGAGTGTGACTCACCTATAGGAAGTGAGTTCTCGGGAGTCTTTTGTTTCTTGATACACTCGGTGCCCACCGCCACCACTTCCCGGCGAATCCCTGGCTTTTGTAGAGGGTAAATGGGACACTACCCCTTAGCCCAAACCACCAACCCAAACAGTGTGAATGCAAGAAGGGGTTCCAACGAACGGTCACTCTAAGCCATGGTGTCTACATCGTGGTGATAGGCAAGGAGGCTCAGGGTTGTGCTGCCACATTTAATCTGCGTGGCATTCTGGGCACCTAGGGTAAAGGCAGGACCAAGACTTGCTGGTTCGGTGCCCAAAATTGGGAAGGTAGACTATGAAATATCCAGGTCACAATGAACTTCCAAAGTCTTCAACCGGTCTCTGTGGCGTTCCGGAAGAAGCTGGCCTGAGGTATTTCCAAGGATGAGAAGCCATCCAAGGACGAGAAGGATGCGAGATTTGCGAGGGCTGTGACAAATTTGTCTTGCGCCTTGAGAAGTTCGGCAAGGTATAGGCAAAGCTGAATTTGGCAAAACAGGTGCCCTTGTGACATTGTTTCTGCCTTTTTGGCTGATTGTGATGCTTACAGGGATATATGAGAAACCCCGGTAAAAGAAAGGGCTAATCCGGGGCATAAGCGCACATGGCGACATGCAGGGAACATGCGTTTCCCTGCGAGAGGCAACTGCGCTTGGCTCTTGCTTTTGCGGCCAGGAGTCCCACAGGGAAAAAGACAACGGCAGCCGCCAAAGAAGATCCCCCAGCAAGGCGTGGATGAGTGAGTGGTGGGGGGGAAGAGTCGCTGGGAGAGGGGAAGGGGCCTAGTGGCCAGATGCAGAGTTGGCAAGCGGACAGCCTCCTTGGGGCCAAAGAACGTACCTCATCAAGGTGTTTAGTTGGGTTGCTCGGGGGCATTGTAGGACTTGTATCTTGTGTCTTCGCGCTTGTGCAGCTTGTTGGCAAGCTTTTAGGGTTTGGGGTGGGCTTGAAGGCTTACAACTCGCAAAGTACCAATTTGTTGGATTGATTTGTTTCACTTAAAACTTTTGGGAACCGCCGTTTTCAGCCATAGCCTGATGAAGTCAGGAACTTACTTTCCTTTCGCTGGACAGATTCTTAAGCCAGCTCTTAGCTCATGTGTGCAATAGCCAAAGCATCCTAGTGGGGTTAGGGATTTTCATGGACCTGCAATTTTAGACAAACCTTACGAATCTTTCTGAAGCCATGACCTTACACCGAGCTGCCAGCTTCTGTACTGTCGGGGTCGGGATCTTCCCCGCAACAACAGTGAAGGCAAACCAGGTCTGGCGATCTTGGTGTCTCCCAGAATCAGGTGCCCCGTTTTGCGGTGGCCCACAAACCCAGGACACCAATCGTTTGTAGGGGGCTCATGTCGTGGGCAGCACCCGTATATTTCAGGAATGGGGATTTTCCCTTGAACCCTTGTGGCGTACCTCCAGCTCAACAGAATCGAGATTGTACCCCTAAAAGTGGCAAGGAAACGCACACCGCCTCCCGATGTCTTGTCCTCAAAGGTGGTTGCGGGGCCACAGAGAGGCAGACAGGTGGTCCGATCGGGGACATAAAGATTGACATGGGGGTTGGCGATGAGAGGACTGAGAGCCAACTCCCAGGCAATCTACCCTCCCGTCCACCAACATGGAACCTGGCGTTTCGGGGTCTTGGAAGTTATTCCTTTAAAGGGACCCTCTGGTGGGTTTTATGGCAACGTGGACACCCCTCAGGAGCCTTTGAGCCGTTGCCCACCCCTCACACGCCTTGCTGCGCGGCAAAAAGAAAAACGCCAGGGGCGATCAGAGAGGAAGCGATCTGTGAGCCGCTCGACTGGCGAAAGGGGAAAGCCCTCTGCGAGGGGTCCGACACATCCGAAGTCAGGGGAAGATGACTGCGGATGGACAGAACCCCTGCAACAGTCGGGGTGGACAAAACCCTTCAAATAAGGGGGTAAATCACTTGCCAACTGCTGTAGGATTTTGTCCATGCGCAATAGGGCTCAGGAAGCCACACAACCACACCACAAAGGCTGGGCACGCCCTGCGCAGGCGTTTTTTGTCCGTTGGAGATGTGGCCTACCAGCACGCAGTTCTCTTAGCCCCGATGATCTCCTTGCCAATATAGCATTGATTCTCACGTCAGTATTTGTCGATATGAGCCACAGTCACAACCCGAGTAAGTGAAGGTTAGTAAGACAATCCCAACCATAATAGGCGTCTGTCCACACTCTTGTTGATTCTTTAGCTGGTTTTGGGAGTTCCTCTGTAATACCAGGTCTTGATTGTGACTCATGCGGGTCCCTGTCAGAAACGAGGGACTCTGTTGGGTCAAGTAGACCGAGATCAAGCTAGAGCAGAGACACTGAACGGATGATCTCACCTGTGTTTCACACACTCTTCAAAAATGAAGATTTGCAGACCCCCGAACAAGTACCTTACAGCTGGGGAGCGTTTCAGTCCGCATGTTTCAGGGGCTCGGACTTGTTGCGGCTGCTTCTTTGCTTGCGGCCGGGGAGGGCACGGCATCTGAGCTTTCACACAGGCCATAGGTCAGCTCGTGGACATTCCATGAGCTCCATGTGGTGAAAGCCGCCCGGTTGCGGAGTTTTTGTGACATTTCGGGAGACGTTTGCCAGGCTCCGAACCTTAGGACAACCACAAGGGTAGACTTGGAGGGGCACGAACTCAAGGGTGGGGACACACTGAAGGTGCTGGAAAAAAACAATAAAAGATAAAAAAGCCAGGCTTTCCCTTCCGCAGGAAGGGTTTGGCTTCTGGCGAGTCTGGGTTTCAGTGAGAAAAAACGCCGCGATCCGAGGCCCGAAGGCACGCAGCGCCAGCGAGGGCAGCGAGAGCCCGAAGGCGGCCGGGGGATGTGGGGATGTGGGGATGTGAAAAGTCCGCGGATTTTCTTGGGACAGTAAGAGATGGAAACTGAGAAATGGGGCATGGGCCAAAATCCAAACTGTACTGCCGGCGAACATCCGATTCATCCCATTCACGGAAATAGACGAAAGTGGGTGGTGAATTCTACCAAAATGGAACCATTGGTTTTGACAGCCTAATGAGTGGGGTAAGTGAACATTTTTCAGCCCAACTGTTTAGAAGGGATGTCTTGTGGGAAGCAGAAGGAAAAACGGCCTGCGCCCCAAGTTTCTGACGGGTCACTCGGTTCATAAGGGTGCTCCGTTAATTATCCTGCCCCTCATGTTTGCTGGAGGTATTGAACCATGATACCACAAATGACGCCCTGTGCAAAGAGTCACCGCGCTGTCGACCCCCGGATGAATCAACGTGACGGATGGATTTTGGTGCGCGACGTCCAAGAGGACGTCCACCATTTTGAGATCCTCCTAGTTGACTGAAGGGTTAGTGTCTTGTACCCCGAAAGTATGGCTTTGCCCTACTGCGAAACCATGCCCCCTTGTCGGCTCTAGCCATACAAGACGATTAGCTATTGCATTATTTCTCACTTGGCCCCCCCCCCCCCCCCGCAAAGTTCCCAACGTTTGGCGAGCTGGTGCCAAACGGTGCAGGCCAAGCGATCGCCTGCGGAGGAGTGATGGACGTCAGCTGAGTTTGGGGCAAATGGCGGCATGTCAGACAAGGAGGTCGCCCTTTTGGCCTTCGTGGCCTTCGTGGCCTTTTGGCCTTTTTGCAATTTTTGCACTTTGCCTCTGGCATGTTTGCCCTTTCCCCCCTTTGCTCTTTTGGGCTTCGCTCATTTTCTCTTTTAACCAACAAGGAGAACATTGCAGGGCGCCTAAGTGTGGCCAACATACAAGGGAGCGAACATGAAGCCATGTACAGAGGTTCCGGGCTTGACACATAAGCTTGGGGAGACATGAAACCACCAGATTGTTTCCGCAACATTTCAGGGGGCCAATGCTCCGAAGTATGGAGCACGAGTCAACATTGCCAGTGGTTGATACTTCTATTCACCGGTTGAATCAGCTGATGCGCACTTTTCAGGTGCCATGCAAATGGTGAGACCTAGCAGGTGGGGAGACCTTTCCCCTAAGTTACTTGTTCTCTCGTTTCTCCCTCACATAAACAAACCAGCTGGAGGTTCCTTTGATTTGGGACACACTCTCTTTCTATGCAGTCTAGCAGCTTGATTTTTGTGGGTCAGTTGTTTCCGCATGGGGATAGGGAATCCGACTCTGGTAGGGTAGTTGTCCGAAACCACGGCCACCTGCTCAACTTCCTGCGAGCCAGCGGTTTCTGGGTCTTTGGTTGCAGGAGCTGAGGAGTCGCCGACCCAGAGGTCAGGATGTGGCTCGGCAGAAGTCATTCGGGTTTGAAGGTCGACGATGTGAACCCCGCTGCCTTGGAGTGGGTTCCCAAGAGCGAAGGATCCACACGCAATGGAGAACCCTGTCAGTCAGCCAGGGGTTTTGTGAGAATGTTGGTTCCAAATGGGCCGTCCATTGATTGGTATAATTTCTGGGGTGCCGCCAGTTGAGTCACAAAAAGGGGGTTGTTTTGTCAACCCTCATACCTAAACGGGGGCCTATGCCAGGTGCTTGGTTTCCTCTTGCCCACACCCCCTTGTCCCCTCCCAAGGCCAGTTCTGCTCACCGATGTGGCTGACTCTTCGGTTTACGTTTGTTGTTTCTGAGTCCCACTCGGTTTGCTGAAAGACGCGTTGATGCATACATGAGACTTGTTTTTTCAGAGCTGGTTGGGGTTTGAGCAAGCCTGGCACGGAGGAACCAGGTGCATGACCTTGATCAATGTCCCTCTGGCTGCAGCTCTCCATTCCTGGACATCTGAACTAAAGCCAGCTTGGCTGTTGCGGTTTGGTAAGTCCGTCTGAATAGTTGCCCAGTCGGTGGTGGATCACAGGTATATTGACCTTGAAAGGAACACTTCCTGAATTGCTAAGCCGGCCAGTGACTTCGCGTTTAACCAGTTCCGAGTCCATTTTCAGACACTACCCCAACAGGTTCCACGAATGCCGCAATCCTACCGTGTGGTTTGCATGTGAGAGCATCTGCCACTCAGCCTCCGCTGGCTTGCTTTGCTTTGCTTGCCGGCTTGCTGGCTTGCTGGCTTGCTGGCTTGCTGGCTTGATTGCTTTGCCAGTTAGTTAGTTAGTTAGTTTGCTTGACTGCTGGGGTGTTACACCTTTGCTCTGAGGGCAAAATAGGGGCCTTGACCTCCGAACTGCCAATCCAAATCACCAAATATGCGAAAAGCAAATAAGCAGGTAAGACAATAAGTAGGAAAGCAAGCAAGCAAGAGTGGGCAAAACCGCCACCAAAAAGACACGTGTTGCTTGAGCTTGTATCCTGCCCGCCCAGGACCGGCCATTGGTCGGCTTCGTCCTCGGAGCCAAGAAGGAGGAGGACAATCTGCGAGTGTTGTTCAGAATAGTGCAGCCCTGAAAACATGGGTCGGTTGGTTTGATTTCGATTTCCATTCAATGTCTACCCCGATTCATTTGGCGGATACAAAGGGAAGTGTTCCCGCCCAAAATGAAGGAATCCCCCGTAAATTGGACACACCTCTATTAGTCAACCAGTGATTTATTCATCCTGGGATGCATTTAAGCAGCGGGGCTTCACCATTGCGAGAGCACCTAGGGCAAGCGGATTGGGCTGGCCCAGCCGTGAGAGAGTGGAACGTGGCACGCTGCTTTGTCAGTTCGTAAGAAGCGTTCTGAACTGTGTGGCCGGCTGCTATGGCTAGTGCTTGATTGGTGAACTTGGGCTTTCTTCCAAAGGGGGGTGGTGGTGGTGTCACCCAAGCAGTCAAGGGATACTTCCCCTTTTCAGGACCCTTTTGAACTGCTCTTTGTTTCTGTATTGGCCGCGAAATCATGAATCACAATGTCCCATCCTGGTTCTCGAAATGGGGGAGCGAGCCGTGAAAAAGCATGTTTGTTCTTTGTGGTTGGTTTCCTGTGGCAGCAAAAGGAGTTGCAAATCGTTTACGATTACGTGTGCTACCAGCCCACACGCACCTGGAACCTCGCTTCCAGGAGAAAAGGGACAATAGAAGAGAAGAGAGAAGAGATGAGCTGCACCAGGCAGCTGGAGAGGTTTTTGGGCGGGATCTTCAAAGAACCACATGTCTGCCATGGTCAACACATCGGAAAGTGCGGGTTGGTAGGGATGATCATGGACCCTTTAAAAGGGCAATTTAGACTGCCATCAAAGAGATTCCTATTAAGGGAACCATGAGCATGGATCACAAAAGGAGTTTTGACCATGGCACATGTGGGGTTGTCAAACATCGTGGCTCTTTTTGAGACCCTGGTCACATACGGTGCCGCCTCTAACAGTCCCAAAAGAGTGCATCATTTTGACCCCCTCCAGATGAGTGCGGCTTGAATTTTTGAGGGGATATCCCACAGACGGACGGTTTTCCTTTGGTTTGCCTTACACAGCCCTACAGCAAGTTTCCACTAAGAACGAGATTCGGGCCATGATGTTCGTTCAAACTGGGCCATTTCCCTGGCTCATTACCGCCAGGGGGGATGACGTTTGAACATGGTAAAGTGATAGGGTCAGTGGAGTGTGTCTGGACCTGAAGAAGAAAAGCATATGCTCCCAGCATGGCAATTGCAGGGATCTGGAACTTGCCGCCTTCAACCTTTGTCAGGTTCCTCTGTAGAGAGGCATTCCTGAGAAGGCACCGTCTAGTGAGTCATGCTTTCCCTTCCTCCCTCAACACGCCCTCTCTTCAACCCGCGGGGAAGCCCTACACATTTTCATGCTGTCTTTAAGGATTTAGCTTCAGATGGCTGTTTTTGGTGGTGGTACGTCTTGAGGGAAGGAAAGACAACAACTTCTCCGATGGACACGACACTATTTTGCAGGCCCAAACCCTAGAAACCTAGTACCCTAATGAAGACGGGTGCAAAGCAACTCTCTGTGTCCCTGGAACAGCTCTCAATATTTAGTACAGCCACTTTTTTTAGTCTTTTGGTTTGCGTTTCAGGTTCGTAACCCTTTTGCTACCATGTCCTTCCAGACCTCCTGGCAGCTCCTTAGCTCCCTGAGCGCAAGTTTGGATACCCCCAGCTCCCTACCAAACCACCACTAGGTTTCCCAGTAGTCTTTTTTGGGGGAGGGTTCCCCTACTAAAACAGACTAGAGAAGAAAAACAACCGGGTACCCTTATTCTAGCCTCTCAAATCTGGAGGACCTAGACCTGCTGGTTGGGTTCCTTTGGTGCGCCAGACCTCCGCCCTGGCGCCTCAGGCCGAGCCCGAGCCTGCGCTGCCGTCCCCGACGCCGGCGCCGGTGGCGCCGGTGATGCCGGTGGCGCCCACGCGGCCGGCGACGGCCGCGGGCTCGCTCCGGTGGATGCGTGCGTGGTCATAGGTGTCCTTCTTGGTTGTTTTGGTAGAAAAATAGATGACGATTCCTGATTTACCTAGTGGTTTCAGCATGTACCAGGGCCATCTATTTCCCCTAAAGGCACACCTAGGTACGTGGTCATGGCTTTGAAGGTCATGACTTTTAAGTAGGGACTCTTTGCCAGCTGGACATGGGGCAGAACCTATGGCTCCATTTTGGGGATGAACATCCACTTGCCACCTATTTTGATGTTCACCAGGGGAACAGGATGTTGACCCACAGCCAGCTGGTGGCTAGTGAGCCAAGGAGCTGGAGTATCCAACAAATTGCCTTCAAAGAGCATCCAGCATCGCAAAACCACGGTAAACGCAAACGTGTTCTCCGGCTGGAAATGTCTTCGCATCCATAGTGTTCCGCCAACGTGACTAGAGGGTTGAGCAAACGGTGGCCTTTGTCTTGGGATGTTCTGTAAATGTCCCGGGTCCCAAACAGGGACCGCTGACTCCCACAACCGAAGCACTGACCGACCGTTGCTCCTTTGGATTTCACCTTAAAGGGTCCGTGGTTTGGTTCAAAAGCCATTGGCAAAACCCTCGTTCGGGTGGATTTGAAGATCGCGAATTGAGCAGTCTGTTGCAGTGGCCCGCATGCTCGGCATGTCAGCCTGTTGGATCATGAGACGGCGTTCAAGATTTGTCATCTGCGGTAAAGGGGATGGAAGTCCATGTCAGTTGGGGACACAACGAATATTGACTGTGGCTCATGTGATGGCACGTTTTTTTTTTTTTTTCTTTTTTTTTTCCGCTAATTGCCTGCAAGAAGTTGACCCGTGATCGCGTATACTTAGATGTTTTGCACACGGTCATTGTACGCTCTTCAATTGTGCTTGTAGAAGCTGCAACACACGCCGCGTTGTCATGCTTGACATTTTGATGTGTGTACGTGTGGCGAATCTTTCCATGGCGAGCACTTGCAGATGGCAAGTGGCGTCGTGGCAGTACCATCAGCCTTGAGTAGCGGACTCATTGACAAGATGGGCTGATGGCCTTTTGAGATTCAGGCGGAGGAATGGTGCCCGCTTTTTCGCTTGGGTGAACAACGGAAAAGGGGTTTGGGGGTTCAAACTCAGCAGGGGGACGTGTCAAAATAGAGAACATCGCACACCTCGAGGTGGATTTCGGTTCTTCGTTTTCCTTGTGGCTTTCTAACCACCATTTGCTTCAGGACGCCGAAAGGATTGGTCGTCTTCCCTTTTGGTTTTCCCCAGCCGAACCGCGGATCGCGAGCCTCGAAAGGTCACCAGCCGGCCGCGCTGAGGTCTTCAACTGGACCCACCGGAACCAGGCGCAGCACCTGGCAGAGCAGGACCGCAAGGCTCGAGAGGCGCGGAAAGAGTTGGGTTGCAGTGGGGAGGGAGGTGTTGGGTTGCGCTGGGGCGGGAGGGAGGGAGGTGTTGTTGGGATGGCGGTGAGGGGGGGGGGTTGGCGGTTAGTTCGGAAGATACCCGCTTCTTTAGAATGATTTTTGGAGTCAAGGCCGAACGATCTTTGAGCCTTCCCCACAGCTCACAGAAGCCACACTTCGGAACGAGCCGTGCGGGAACCCCGCGCCGAAGACTGACTTACTGGCTGCCCTTTCCGTTTTGACCTGAAATAATGTTGGTTTTGATCCTACAATCATGTGCTTTTAATGCTGTTACTATTTTGACGCGCATGGCGTTATTGGCCTCACCTGCGATTCTGCGTTTGACACTTTTGACAGACCAGTCAAAGTAGCGGGGCCCGTGCACACTGCCAGGTTCCACTTCGGCAATGCTTTTTCTTGGATTTTCAATTTGGGTGGTTCCCCGTTCCCGTTTTTGGAGCGTTTGCAACTATGCAGTTGGCCCAGGAGAAAGAGGCCGCTGCCAAAAGGGAGCGGGAAGAAGCGCTGAAGCGTGCTGAGAGCCAGATGACGGACATGGAGAGGCCGAATTGGATCTGCCGAGATTCGTGCGCATCCGGAAGGCGTCGCCTTCTGTTCAGTTTCCTTCCTTTTTGGAACGGCTGATGAACCGCGTAGCTCCACTTCTGGCCATTTAAGCGGATTCCGTGGAAAGCTCAAGCTACGCGAAGTCAGAAACTAGGGCGCTAAAGATGTCGGTTGGGCGATTTTGAGATGTAAGAGATCCAACTCAAGCTATCTGAGTGTCTTGCACATCGCCTAAAGGGTTTCTCCTGTATAACAACGGAACTTCTTTTTTTTTTGCACCAGCGATATGTATTTGGAGATTCCTCATTTTGGATTCTCCTTTTTTTCTTTTCACAGACGAAGCGAGCAAGCAAGTGAGTGAGCGACTGGTGATTCCAAAGCAAAAACACCTCGATCCCGGCGTTTTTTGTGATCATGCCTGGGGCTCCTGTTCTTTATTGAAATCCCGCCGGCTCCATTCCTTTTCTTTTTGGAATCACATATTTTCAAGTCATCCCTGGGGGGTCCAGGTTTTGTTGTTTTGAAATCACGCCTGGGGGGTCCCGGTGTTTTATTTGCTGAGGTCACGCCTGGGGGGTCCCGGTGTTTTTTGCAATCACGCCTGGGGGGTCCTGGTGTTTGTTTGTTTTTTTAAACTCACGCTTGGGGGTCCCGGTGCTTGTTTTTGTTGATTCATGCCTGTGGGTCGGGGTGCTTTTTCTTGAATTCACGCCTTGGGGCTCCGCTTTTTTGGTTGAATTCACGCCTGTGGTCCCGGGTGTTGTTTCTTTGGAACTCACGCCTGGGGTCCTATATAGTTTTTCCTCTTGTTACATCGCGCCTCGGCGTGATTTCAAACAAGCAAACACCGGAGCCCCCAAGCGTGACTTCAAAAACAACACACCGGGACCCCCCAGGCGTGATTTCAAATGAACAAACACCGGGACCCCTCCAGGCATGATTCAAATATGTGATTCCAACAAAAAAGAAAACCGGAGCCCGTTATTATGGCAACCGCTTCCCGGCCTTCCACAAAACGGCATGATGTGTTTGTTTGGAACGCTTGTGGGGCACAACTCCTCAGCTAGAATCTCAGCACGTGTTGTGCAGGACCCCAAATCCCCAGAACATCAAAGCCCAAAAAGCACCCGGTGAAGAATCCTAAAAGTTGTTTCTGCTGGGGAGTTCCAGACTTTGCAAGAAGCCCTTGTTGTGTTGGGCATTTGGCTAGCTGTGACCATGGTCAATTTCCCGCTGCTTTGCGCCTCCCCACCTTTTCCTTTGCGACTCCATGCAGACGTGAGCCAGGCAGCAGGCGGAGAAGGTGGCGCGCTTCCGTGTGACCAAGGCAGGGTCTCGACCGCCGGCCGGATTTTTTCTCCCACCCGCCCCCGGTGGTATGGAGACTTGGGTGAAATGGTGCCAACTTTTTTGGAAGAGAAAGCGATCGAACCGTTTTTGGGGCTTGTAGTTTGCAGAAAATGCGTGTCAAGGGCCCCCCGCCCTTTCAGGGGCCGCTTTTCCCGGCCCAGCGACCAGCGCTCCTTCAAGTCTCCCAACGCCACCCCCCCGTTTGGCTTTCCAACGTGTTGGCTGCAGGACCAAGGGCTATAGATCTGCCGCCAAAGGGGAGAGACAGGTCTGGGTTTGGTCTATTTGTTTACGAGGCTTTTTGCGGTGTAATGGGAACTCACCGTTTTGGGGGGGGTGTCCCCTCGTTTTGAGCTCAGCCCAAATGGCTGCGATGCTCAATTTGGAACGCCCTCCTAACTGCTTGGTGGACATAAAGCCCCCTCTGATGATTCACACTCAATTCGTCCCTTCCCCACACGCCAAACCCAACAAGGAAGTATTCCTACAAGGCTCACCGGTTGCAATGGGGAAGGCCACCAGGGTAAGGGAAACTCCCAGCCATACAGAGGCGTAAATATCAGCCCTTTTGCTCCTGTGGGTTTGGGTGGACTCCTCAAGCAGACTCTTGGGCACTGGGGCTTCCATCCGAGTCCATCTGAGGCCATCGAGACGGTGAGGAACTCCCCCCTGGGGCCGCCCCGGGAGCAGGCGGCGGAGGAGATGCGGCTCATCATGACGGAGCGCCCTGGAAGCGAAGATTCGTCGCGAGGATCGTCGCGATCGTGCCGACTGGGTTGGGTCAGCTTCTCATTTGGTTTCGTGGGAAGCTACGAAAGGGGTATCAAAGAAGTGGGAAACTCAGAGAATTGGCCCCTGATCCAACGTGGACTGCCAAGGCCAAACACCGGCAACCGCCGAAAAGGCAAAACACATATCACATCTAAAGGGGTAACCTCTAAGCCCAAGAGATGCGTCACTTCCAATTTCAGGTGGCTGCCAAAGGTCGCTTTGGATGCGCAGCAGGACGCCGCGGGATGAGGTTTCGTGGCTGGTTGACTCGGATTTCCGTTGAGCCTCAGAGCTTGGAATAGGCGGACCAAAAGGGCCTCCAAAAGGTGAGATTGTTTTTGATCGGGGAAGGCCGCTGCTCCCCAGATGCGAGGCTTGTCCGAAGCCGCATGGTGCAACCGAGTCCAACCCAAGCCGTGATCGGCAGCACCATGCTTGTGTTTTGCGGACCTTATATAAAGTTTGGACCTATTTGGATAAATTTCGCAAAGCACTCCGATTGTGACATGTAACATCACTGTTTGGAGGCCCAGTTCCTGTAGCTTGGACCATGGCATTAGGGAGGTCGGCGCCTAGAGCTGGGGAGGATTTTTGCATGCGAAGGTAGAGGCAATTTAGTCGAGGGGATTGATTTTGGCCCTCGAAAAATGGTACCCCTTTTCACAAGCCTAGGGTCTGGGGACATCCTGTCCAAGATCTCCCCACCTGGGAGAGCCGTATGCCTCGAAATACCACACACTTTGGTCTCAACAGCTGCGGCAGAAAGAAGTTCAAGCCATGGCTCTTGTTGGTTAGGGAGGCCCCCCAAAAGGTTCGCTGCCCTTTAAAAATTGGTACGCTCAAGAAGACTCATCCACATAGCTGTGAATTTTGAGAGTTGGAACCACCCAAATGATGTCCACCAAAGAAAGAGTTCCCTGTTAAAAACATCCCCTGCCAAAACAAAAAGCTCCCTACTCGGGGTTAGCTGGGACGGTCGTCCACCTGGTAAGGATCCTTAATAACCATGTAATGATGCCTGCTTGGCTCCTATGCGCATATGGGGTTGTTTTTTTGAGGGTACCCCACTTTTGGAGTCTTCATGGGGAAGCCAAAGCAAAACCACATCCTCAAAAAAAGTGACACACACACACACACACACACACACACGCACCGTGGGGTTGATCAATATTCCTGGCCCCCAAATTACCATGGGCAACTTTTCCCATTTCGTGTTTTTTTGGTTTCCACCAATGGTACTCCCATGGAAAGGACCTTGTGATCAACCCCCACACTGTGGATGGACGAAATCCTGCACCACCTAAGAGACCCTGGAATGATCATTCCCCTGCAAATACCGGCAAATAATGGTTTCCCATGGTATCAACGTGGTGCGAAATGGATTTTGTCCATCCACATACTTCCGTTTGCCTGAGCTCGCAGGAGTTCCTGGAGCAGGCGACCAACGCGCTGGTGGCCAAGCCGCCTTCGCCCGCGCCGGTTGCGGCGCCTTCGCCGGCCGTTTCGGCGCCGGAGCGGGAGAAGGAGGCGCTAGGGAGGGGGGGAGGCTGGGGGGAGTGGGCTCCAGCTGTTTTTGTTTTTTTGGGGGAGGGGGGGAAGGGGGGGGGCGGTTACCTGGTGGTTTTCCCTTCAACCACAAGAGGGGTTGCCCCAAACAAGCACACAACCCCTTTGCACCGCAGGGCATGGCCCAAATCCGGGAACTTCAGACCAAGACATTTGCAGAGCAAACCCTTCTTCTGAATATGCTTGCGCTGCACTGACCGAATGTCCAAAATTCGATCCATGGGGGTAGAAGCTCGCAGCAACTCAAGCCACGTACACCCTCTCCGCTACCATACTGTGGATGGACGAACTCCATTTCGCACCACCCAAGAAAGCCTGGTTTCTGATTCGATTCCCCTGCAAATAGCAGCAACCGTTCTGAATTTTCACCCAGGGTAACTCATGGTGCGGTGCGAAATGGATTTGGGGGTTGATCAATATTCCTGGCCCCCCCAAATGTCCACAGGTTTTTTTTTACATTTCGTGGGTAATTTCTTCATTTGTTTTAGTGGTTTTCACAATTGGTCATCCCATGTAAAGGACCTTTTGATCAACCCCCATTTCGCGTCCATCCGCATCTCCCCCCGACTCCTCCGCTCCGTCCGCCTTGCAGGAGCCCGTTTGGCATACGCCCTCAAGAACAAAGCAAGTAGGGATCAACAACAAAACAAACAGAGATCAATTCAATCACATATAGACGACATCAATTTTAAAGCAAATGGAAGAAAGGAAGCAAGGAAGGAAGGAAGGAAGGAAGGAAGGAAGGAAGGAAGGAAGGAAGGAGGAAGGAAGGAAGGAAGGAAGGAAGGAAGGAAGGAGGAAGGAAGGAAGGAGGGAGGGAGGGAAGGAAGGAAGGAAGGAGGAAAGGAAGGAAGGAGAAGGAAGGAAGGACAGGAAAGGAAAGGAAAAGAAAGGAAAGCAAAGGAAAGTAAAGGAAAGCAAAGGAACGGAATGTAAATGAATGAAGGAAAGCTCTTCGACCACAACTACCTCCCACTGCTACTACTACTACTAGTACTACTACTACTACTGCTACTGCTACTGCTACGGATATTCCTACTGTACCGCTACAGCTACCGCTACAGCCAATCATACCCCCGAATCAAGACCCAACACATACCCCCGAATCATACCTGCGAATCACACCCCGCGCTCAAGCCTTTCTGCCCAACCCTCGCGCCCAGTAGAATCGTGGGTTGGGTTTTGTGTGCGTGCCTCACACAACATGTCTGGGCAAGAGATGGGTGTGTGTGTGTGTGTGTTGTCCTTTGACACCTATTTGTTCTTTGTTTTGATCTCAGGAGAATGTGAGCCACAATCAAAACCCGTGTAGATGAAGGTTAGCGAGCAGTCCCAGCCACTACTTGCCGCCTTCTCAATTCTTTCCATGGCTCTTAGACACAAATTTGATGCCGGGTTTGGATTGTGACTGTGGGCCCACCTTGCAGGAGCCGCCGGCCTCGGCTCCGGCCGGCTTCGGCGGCTTCGGCATGGACCGGGCGGTGACATGTGTCACGCGCACCATGGGCTTGTGATGTTTCCACTTTTAGAAGGTTTTTTTTCCAGCAGGATTTCTTGGACCTCCTTTTTTCGTTTTATTTTTCTGTGGGGAAGACTCGCAGAATATGTTTTTTGGGTCTGTGGGGAAGACTCGCAGAAGTGGGTTTGGTTTTTTCCTGTATTTTTGGGGGGCTTAACTTCCTGCCGCGAATCAAGGTTCCTGTTACAGTCTGGTTCAAGGTTCCCAATACAGATAGATCGTCGGAATTGACCAGATCAATGCTCCCAACTTGATTTCGAAGCCAGAAAGGGGGGGTTCTTTCAAAGGATTTTCCTCTACAAACCGATGGGTTGCTCGGGTTCCGGCGTTTCTTTGGAGGTAACTTGGGCTGCGCTGAACTCCTCTTGCTCTTGGCTCCAAGAGTTGGAGAGGCTCCAGAGCCACTCATTTCTGGCTCAAAGGGAAACCAACAGGACATCAAAAGTTCAGAGGAATCGATTCCTCCGTTTGTTGCGCAGGACTCCATGCCTTCCCTGCCGAAGATGATGGCCGTGCCTCGGCGATGGACGTCTTTCCTGTGGAAGAAGCCAACCATGTTGGAGCTTCCCCCCGAGTTTGATACATTGGTTGCATTTTGAGGGGTTCTCGAAATTACTCCGGGGATGGTTTTTCCTTCATCTTGGAGGATCTCTTTCCAAGATGGAGGTCGATCACCGTGAATCAGACGGAACAACCGTGGACCAACTCAGTATATAAATTTCTAGCAACCACCAGGAGTTCACTAATTCTCCCGTGACCTCTTGGGGGAACAGGGAGTTTTGGTCGTGACTGGTTACGTTTGGGTGTCTCCATTTCTTGCAACAAAGCAATCCATTCCTATCTTTATTTAGCATCGGAAGATAGCCCTAGTTTCGCTTCAGAGCAAAATCACCAGTAGGCTCCCCTTGAAATTCATTGTCAGACTTGACTTACCTTCTTGGCGTTTTGCCCTCTTGGTGCTCCTTTTTTTTCCTTTTTCCCTCCCATTAACTGGGGGTCCCCCTGCGGTCCATTTTCCTCCCAAATGAACATATGAACGTGCCCGTGTGCTGTTTTTTGTTCCTCAGGACTCCATGGCCATGGCAAAGATGGGCGTGCCTTGGCTGAGAGGGAGCCTGGCACTGGTTTCGGTTTGCAAAGACGGAGAGCCTGGAACCTGAGAGCATGAGCAGCGATCGAAAAACTGGGTAGTTGATTGGCTGAGACCCCACGAACAAGACTTTAGACTTGAAAGTCGCCTTTCAGAGTGCAAATGGAAATTTAATCCATGGGAGTCCCAGTCAGAAATAGGTGTAGGTATCCGATGGGCCTGGGTGGACCCGTGCGCAAGGTTTGCAATTCAAATGCGGAGGCTCCCTTTTGGATCCGTCCACATGCCGTGGGTGCCCCTTGCCACTTGCTCTGGGAATCAGCGTGTGCCCTTTGGGAAGCCTGGGCACTGGCATGAGCGGGTGCTGGTGAACCAACTTCCGCCTCAAGCGTCTCACTGCATCTCTGTGCTCAGGTTCCGTTCTTTTTCCGTGTTTTGCTTTTCCGTGAACCAAGCCTTGCAAAATCCATTTTGAAGAGCTTTTCAGAGGCCACCGGAGCAATTAGCCAGGAGAGTTGAAGCTAAAGACCGGAGCTTTTGTGACTCCGCTTCAGGACATGCCGATCTTGCCGAAGATGATGGGAGTTCCTTGGCATGGGCTGGGTTTGGTCTTGATCAGCGCAGCCTCCATTCAAGCAGCACCAAGCACTGCAAGTTCAAACAGGGGCTAGCGAGCGTGCATGCACACACCCGTTCTGAGTATTTTTCAGGACAAGGGGGTGAAACAAATGTTTCTTTGAAGGTTAAGATACCTCCAGCAGCCTTCATCGCTGTGTTTTGAGGAACGCCACCCAAGAGAACGAGCAACACACGCACACAGAGACGCAACATTTGCCCAAGGACTCGATGCCTTCCATGCCGAAGATGATGAGCGTTCCTCGGCTGAAGGGATATCAAATGTGCAATTGCCACCACGAGAAGCTATTTGGCTTTCCTACACTGAGTAATTGACCCCAACACCCGTGTTTCTCTTTTTGGTTCGCTTGAAACACGTGGCAATAGAGGGTCCCTTCCAGTTTTTAGTGACGCCTACCTGCTCGCTTGAGCGTGGCCACTGTGGCTCCTATCGCAAAAGTAATGTGATGAGGTGTAGATGTCAAGGTTTCCCTGCCCCATGCTCTGAAGCAATTCCCGATTGCAGCATAGGTCCAAGATGACTGATAGCTATGCCTGCCAGAGAGGAACGAAATGCAGTCCGCAACGAGCCAAAGTAGCACGAACAGCATGCAATACTAGTGACACAGCCGCCCTTTCTCATGGCTTCTCTTCGGCGAATCCGTCATTTAGATCTTTTGATGTTGCATTGAATCTGCAAAAGGTTACTTGTTCAATTCTCAGGACTCTATGCCTTCTATGCCGAAGATGATGAGCGTTTCTTGGCCTGAGTCTGGCGCATTGCCGGTTCATCGAGGTTGCCGTGGGAGTCCGACAGCATGCAAGGATGTGGGCGCTTCCCTGGAGAGAGCCTCTTACAAATAGCTATGAATGAATGACCACCACATTGCCCCGGAGCAAAAACTCATGCCCAAATGGCTGTTCTGCCCTGGTTTCCCATTCACTGGCCCAAAAGGCTAAAATCGGTTCTCAATGTAGGAAAGCTCATGTGGGAGCTCAGCAGGAATGATCTTAGGGGAACGTCCTGAGGTCAAAATGGCCATGGATCCAAAAGGGGTTCCAGGCGGTTGCTGTGTCAACTGTGTCGTTTTGGTTCTGACAGAGTAGACCTTCGCTCCTTTGGTGGTTTTGTTTCACTGTTTACTCCTTGTTTCGGGGGGGGGGGAGCAACATGATGGAGCCATTTTGCACATTGCGGCATGAAAAGGGTCGCGAAGTTGTCAAAGGCTCTCCAGGAGAAGGGGCAGAGGTTGCCTGCCCGCGCAAGATTGGTGCCGCAGTTGAGCAAGGCTTTGGATTGTTTCCAGTTGTTTACGCCGCGAGAGCCTCGAAGGCGTAGCTTTTTGGTTTGCCCCTGGCAACCCAATCATGTTTGTGAGGACAATTTTGCTTTCCAAAGGCAAGGAGAGGTTTTTCCTGGTGTCCTGTTGGAGTGCCCCGCAAAGTTCCGCAAAACCTTCTTGAAGGTTTCATGTGGGCATTGGTATCAAAATTGGGATTTGGACCTGACAACGGCTTTGGTCCTTTTGGTTTCCCTTTAATCAAGCCAACCTGCAACGGATGGCAGTCGCCTAGGAAACATGGCAGCCTCTATTGGCTTAGGGTTTGGGTTTCGTGCAGCTTCAGGCCTCAAAACAGATCCAAGCCAAGCACCTCCAAACTGGGCCTATGAAACCATTCAGCTCGGGTTGCTTTGAGGATGTGAACCGGAGCTGGGTGACTCTGCTTGATACCACATCCTTGTTGTTTGCATATTGCCGACCAGAGTCACTTGCATGGATCACCATTTGCACCTCAACATGGGTGCTTTGTTGGACCCCCCCCACCCATTTGGTGTCAAGCCAAAAGGTTTCCTCTTGGCTTCCCTTCAAACCGAGTCCGACCTCAGGACTCCATGCCCATTCCCAAGATGATGACCGCCCCTGGCCTGGCTGCGACTCGGAAAGTCTTGGCTTGGGCTGAGCCAAGCGGGGCGTGTCAGATGTTCAATGAAAGAACCGGGCGGCTGCTGCCCTTTGCTGATTGATTCTGATGGGAACCCCACCCAACTTGTCAAGAATCTCAGGTCTCGTTTGAAACGCGCTTTGATTCTTTGTCTTGGGCGAAATCACAACATCCCAACCTGGTGCCATTGCGGTAGCGCGAGAAACGTCAGTCGAGCCGTCCGTTTGGGGCCTTGGAATTTCACTAAATCACTAAACCTTTGTCCAGGATTAGGGTGCCTCGTCAAGAGGTCCGCAGTCTTCCAAAAACCATAGTCCGCTTGCCGTACATGGATGCGGAAGGCATTTTGCCCTTTGGTTCTTGGACATTATTTTTGGGTTGGCCCCAATAAAGGGTTTTGATCATGACAATGACTCAGCTGAGGCAACTTGCTCGTTCTGAGAAATGTGGGATTGGCAATGCCCTTGTACAAGCCTTTTTTTCCCCCCCTTTCTCTTTTTCTTCTTTCTTTCTTATCTATGTAGTAGTTGCTTGGAAGGCCCTGCTGCGAACAGGACTTCTTGCGATGAGATGGGCCCAGTTCGGATAGCTTGTTTTGGGCTTCCATCTGGCTGTGAGTTCCGAGAGTCTCAGCCGCAGAGCCGGGGGTTTACCCTTCTTTCCGTGGCAAGCTGATGGTGGTCTTCGCATACCTAAGTTGTGAAATCATTGCACCAGGAATCAACGCGAGTAGATCCTGTTTTGGCAGCTTGCCAGAAAGGGTCGCTGGGGTTATTCCCACAATTATGCCCTGCGAGCAAGTTCAAGACGGCGCTGTTGTTAAGCCCAAATCCGACAGCTGCCATGACGACCTTTGTGTCTGGATGCGGCGCGGTCGATTGCTCAGGAAGGTCGGCCCAAGATGTCGGCGCAGAGCTTGGATGCACTGACGCTCGCTGTTGGCAGTATTTGGTGGATTGGTGACCGCCCTTTCGTTTGGAAGGATCCGAGTTCGGATTTTCTGAGAAAGCTTTGGGAGGCCACTTGGTGAAGCGGTTCATATGGCCATGGGTCAAGATCCCACTAAACTAGACTAAAATGGGTGGTGCACCTACCCCAAATGCACCCCACAGGGCTTCGCTCCAGCGCATTGGGGGCCATATGCTCGCGGGTAAGCTTGACATGTGGAGTGCCTGGCGCTGGACTTTCTCTGGACGGGTTCCCTCCGCTGGAGATTCTGCAACCCACCTTGAAGAAACGGTGTTAGGAGGGAAGCCTGCGCGAGAGACTTAGGGGATGGGCTTTTGGAGGGTGTTTGAGGAAAGCAAACGGAAGCCTGCGTTTTGGAGGAGTCCAAGACCAACTGTTGAAGGCCCAAATGTTGTTTCCCGGAGCATTCCAAGTTGGGAGAGCAAGAAACGGCTGCAATTTACCGGGGTTTCTGGTTGGCTTACTCGGAGTATCTTGCATCATTTGGGCAATCAACTGTAAATTATTGAGGACACAGTCGATGCCCCGTGTATGTTTTTGAGGTGCAAAAGGGATGGCGGAATCGTGGGCAAAGCATCGCGCCCTCACAAAGGGATTTGGCTTGCGACCTCGCCATGGATCAGCGAGGTCCTCTCAACATGAGTGCATGCTAAGGGAATCCACGATTGGAGGCACATCCGGTCGCACCGACCCGGAAACAAGCCCACCTGGGCATGATTACCGCAAGGCAGACTTGACGAGTTTAAAGTCTTGCTTGGGGTCCAAAACAAGGGAATCCTGGCAATCTGTTGCAAATCAGGAGTCCACTGCTGCAGGCTGTTTCAGACTCATTGCTAGCAGTTCCAGGGTTATTCTGGCATTCCCAAGTAAAACCCAGAGGTTCCGGATCAATCCCGCTGCAAAGTCTCCCTGGAAACCACATGGAACTTAAGCAAGGGACCCATCATGGTCTCCTTTGCTCCGGGCGCTTCCTGTCTATTACGGAATCTCCTTTGGGGGGAGGGGGGTGGGGCCTTTTCCGGTTCCACGTTATCGGGAAGTAACCTTCGATCTTTGTATATCCTTCGGGTGATGATCTCTTGCCGCTTGAAACAATGAGTTTCCTTTTGATAGTCGGCAATCTGTCGTTTGGCGTGGATCAGTGAAGGGGGCGAGCTTTCAGGAACCCTGCGATCCCGTCTCAGACCAAAAAAAAACGCTCAGCGCGCCTAGCGTTTCTCGCTTCTCGCTTCTCGCTTCTCGCTTGTCGCTTCTCGCTTCTCGCTTCTCGCTTCTCGCTTCTCGCGAAGAAATGAGAGCGAGAGAGAGAGCTGAGGCCATCCCCACGAAGGAGGAGATGCAGAATAAGACCTTCACCAAGGCCTCAGGCAGGATGCGCATCAATTGGGCGAACGCCTAATAAGCTGCACCCATACCCGAATGGGCAGCTGACCAGCCAAAAGCAGCGGGTGCAAAATGCGGGATCTAGATATGTTAAACAGAAAACTAATATGGGGCTATTTAAATCTATTCAGCAGCCGGAGTGATAAACTGAGAACTGGCAGTTGCCGTTGCAGATTACGACTCATCAGGAAATGAGACATGAACTTGCAAGAAAGGACCTTCCTCAAAGGTTTTCGGTCGTAACTTCTTGTGAGGCGACTAGACGTTGCCCAGAGAGTGGAGTGTTCCCCCAAATGGGTATGGCTCAAAATTAAATCACCAGGGGACCACGATCTTAGTCCATGTTTCCTTTTACCAGGGTTCGATTTTGGGCACCTATTTTTGTCCGACACCCAAATGAGGAACTCCAGGTGCCCGAAGAAGGACAACACATGGTTGCCTACTATAGTGGTAAATGGCATCAGGCAGGGAATTGACTTGGGCGTGCTTTTTCTCGGGTGGTAACCCCCCCCCCTTCTGGTTGGTTTGAAAGGCAAACAAACAGAACGCCAACCTTTGTGGTGCCTCGAAATTTTGAGACAAACCCTTAAAGCGGACATGTAAAGAATCTCTCAAAATTAACTGTTCTTGAGGCATGGGGATTCCTGGGTTTCGATTGGATCATTTCTAATTCATCCAGCTTGTTGGGAGGTCAAGACGAGCCAAGGTATGCAGAATCACCGAGATCAGACTTTTGGGGACTTGGTTGGGAAGGGCGGGTGTTGGTGGCAGTTGTCGTTTCTTGCTTTTTTTGGGAATACCCTTCCCGTCCGAGTGCTTTTCAGAGGACTTGCTTTGGCCAGGCAGCATGCGCCTAGTGCTTTAAGATTGGGATGATATGGTTATTCGCACGGTGATTTAGCATGCTTTACCTTTAAGAAAGACATTCCATGCACCCAAGCGAGGCATGCCGTGCATTCCAGAGAGGCACCTGCTGCACTTTTCAACGTCTCACACATGCGTCTGATGCTTCGGAACTTCTAATCACAGGCCCCCCCCAAAGCAAAAAAAACATACACAAAAAAACACATTTTTCATTTTCGGACCCAGTGCCCTTTTTGATCCACCAGTGTGAGGCTTTCACCACGGGATGCCCTTTTCCCAACTCCAGACCACATTTTTTTGCCTGCTCTACCTGGTGGTTTACGGGCTTAAAAGGTAGGTCGGGCGTCGCAAAAGCACAGTCCCAAGTTTGTGGGGCTTGTTGTTTCGGAATCTAACGAGCCACCCATACCAACTCAAATTGCCTTTCGCGCCTTAAACGGCTTCAGCCACGATTGCCCTAAACATTGCAAATGTAAGGTGCATTCAATCTCAAAGAATCTGAGGCGATTCGCGGTGAATCGGACGCTTTCCGGTTGTCCTTACTTGCAACAAGGGTTTCCGTAACGTTAACCCCGGATTAAGAAATGCCTGGTAGATTAATAGAGGGGTGTCCCCTTTTAGTGGGGATTCATCACTTTTGGAGGGAACACCCCCCTAATAGTGGGACGGGTTCACTACTCCTGGGTCAACATTACCGAGGAAGGCCACGGCCCGCCAGGCCCGCCCAAGCCCCTGATGCCACCTCCGCCGGCCGCTGGCATGGCGATGGACGGCATGAAAGGCGGCACCCGGTTTCGTTCTAGTTCTTTGCCGGCCCCAACCGTTTGTTTTTTGGCCCATTGGAAAAAACAGCCAAAAGGGCAAATTGAGGGCAGAAAAGCAGGTCTGGGCTTGGAAAGACAGGCCACCCCCCTAGATAGTTACTAAAAATTGACCATGCCTTAGATCGGTTTTTCAGTACCCACAAGCTCATTTCAGTTTTGAACGCCCTTACACCATTTTTTATTTGGCAGATGGTAGAAGGTATGCATAAACCCAGGTGCTTCATGTCCCAATGCCCGTGGGCTGAACTCCACCATGAAACTGTGGGTTACCGTGCCTGTCTCACACCAAATGGGCGGGTGACCAAAAGGGAGGGCATTTTC